AGTGAGGATTAAAATGTTTTTAAGCCGCCGAAACCGGTTTAGCTCAGTGGTAGAGCATCGGTCTGCGGACTGAAGGTCCCAGGTTCGATTCTGGACAAGGACATGTACATTGGTTGCGGGCACATCTCCGGTAGGGGGTGTGCAAGAGGCAGCTGGTCGATGTTTCTCTCTCATCAATGTTTCTAGCTCTCTATCTCTCTCCCTTCTTTCTATAAAAAAATCAATAAAATATAAATAATAATAATAATAATAAAATAAAATGTTTTTAAGCCAAAACCGGTTTAGCTCAGTGGATAGAGCGTCAGCCTGTGGACTGAAAGGTCCCGGGTTCGATTCCTATCAAGGGCATGTATCTTGGTTGCAGGCACATTCCCAGTAGGGGGTGTGCAAGAAGCAGCTGATCAATGATTCTCTCTCATTGATGTTTCTAACTCTCTATCCCTCTCTCTTCTTCTTTGTAAAAAAAAAATCAATAAAATGTTTTAAAAATTTGTTTTTAAAATAGAGTGTAATTAACATACCATTTATAATTTAAAAATAAATGAACTTATTTTTAATTACCAATAGGCTCTTATCTTACCTAAAATAGACAAACATGTGAATTGACTGTACCTTCACTACACCCACAGCCAATCAGAGTGAGAATGCAAATTGATGGTGGTGGCCACCCAACTGCTCCAACCCGGAGTGGCCAGGTGGGGCAGGACACCTGCTATGAGAGGGAGGGCTGGAGGAGGGGGCAAAAGGGGATCTACAGGAGCAGAGTGCCACAGTGAAGACAAGGCTGCAGACTCCGGAGTCTGCAGCAAAGATGAAGAAGGCAAACTGGCCAGAGTGAAGGCCTGGGTCCCGGGTCCTGGAGGAAAACTGGTGCTAGAAGCCAAGGGAAAGAAGCCTTTTGCATGGATCTCTTCATGCCACGGGCGTCTACTAGATCTATAAATAAGAAAGCAAATCAATGATGACTTAATGAAAACTATAGCTTTTTTTTTTTTTTAGAATTCTTTTTACTAATGTTGATTCTTAAAATATGAAGCATCTGTGATTTCTACTATTATTAAATTTAGCTAAACATAGACATTCTGACCAAAGAAGTTTGTGCTATTTAGAGAATAGTCATTTGGGTATTTTGCAGTCATCTGGGTATTTATATTTTTCTCAAGCAATTTTTATCATTTCTGTGCATGCACAAAATTTATGAATTTTAATTTGGGGGGAAGAGAATAGTTCACTTTAAATCATTCCCATATTCTAAAACCTGGGATTGAATTTTTAGGACAAAATCAACAAATTATATTGTCTAGAATTGCTTTTTTCCTTCCAAAAAGAACTTGGGAATCATTACAGGCAAAACTGAGGAATCTTGTTCCTACAATGACAGTTTATGTGAGTAGCTCACATATATTTTGAGATGACTTGATGCTCTTCTGCCATCTGGTGGACACTAATAGAAGTGTCACTAGGTAGAGTAAAGATAATGTAGTCTGGATCTAAATTAAAATATATTTTCTTATTATAAATTCATATTTTATGATAATGGAAGAATCCTATTCTTATTCCCAAAGGAACACTTTACCCTAATTCCCTAATAAACAACAAAAAAACTTCATAGTTTTTACAATAATAAATCCTATCTCTAATTCATATGAAGTTATTCATGCACTTATTTATACAAAGTATATATGTTTATATTTTCCTGAATCATTCATATTCCATTACTAGCATAGTGCACATTTGCTGAAATTGTTAATACTAAGTACTGTATGTAAAACTTTTCAATTTACAAGGCCAATTGTTAGTTTTGGGTGCCCTCCTGTGTTCATGAGATAAACTACAGACTTGTACAGAGATGCAGACGCTGCTGATAAGGCACATTTTCACTGAATCGTTGAACTATTTCTTAGACCAGTGACAATTGGGTGACCTGAGTCAACTGCCTGATCTCAGCCAGATGCTTTGTAACTTTAAGTACCTCCCGAAAACAAAATCCAGATTGTGTGAACTGGTTACTTAATCCTGGGTCTTAGTGACCTTGCTTTCTCTGTCTTTTGCAGCTCGATATGGTCTATGAAGAGATATACTTATTATTTTGCTTCATTTGCACAATATAATTTTCATTCTCACAATTAGCTCAAACTAGCACATTATGAATGTGTTTCAGAAAGTATCAGACTACTCTTTCATTGGACTAAGTATTTGGCACCATTCCCAGCATAGGCTTCAATTCTATTCGAAATCCCTGGATGATTAAAAAAACAAACAAACAAAAAACACCTTTTTTGCAGATGAGATAAGCGAAATTTCTAATTTCATGAAATTAATTGTTTAATCAAATTATTATGCCAAAGTGGGATTTTTGTTAGCAGATCTGAAAAATACTGAAATGATTGTTTTGTTCTCCTATGGTTTTTCTCTGGTTGGAAAATTTTAATTATTTCAAGGATTTTCTGTCAGCAAAATGTCCAGTAGTAGGCCATATTTTATAATTGAAATTCTCCTCATCCCAAGCTAACCACCTTGGTCAAGTACCTAACAAGAGAAATAAAGGCATCATAAACTTGTAGGTGCTCTTTGTACATTTATTTCCAAAAATAATGCCAAATATTCAAAATAGCATTTTAGTCAATCCTACCTAATAAAGAGGGAATATGCTATAATAATTGACTGTCACACCACAGCCACATGATGGTGATGCCCAATCCCCTCAGCCCCAGTGGGGCGGCAGGTGTGGGGCATGGCTGGGACCACCCCCAGGAAGGTCTGACTGCTTTGTGCACCTGCCTCTGGAGTCCCCCCGTCCACTCAGCAACCCAGCTACCAAGGGCCAGCCTGAGGCTCAGCTAACCAGGGCCAGCTGAGGCTTTCACTGTCAGCAATGGCAGCAGCATAGGTGTGATGGGGGCCTCACCTTTCCCTGATTTCCAGGTCACCTCCAGCACCTGAGGGATCCCAGACTCTGAGAGGGGGAAGGCTGGGCTGAGGGACTCCCCCTCCAGTGCATGAATTTTCATGCACCGGGCCTCAAGTCTAGCAATAAAAGGCTATGGCTTTTATGTTTATAATCAGCTAGAGAAGTTAAGAAAGACCAATTCAGAAAAACAATATAGGAGAAAGTGCAATTAATCCAGTAGTGAAACCAAGCAGACAAATGACACAGAACAGCAGAAGTGAGAGCATTTGACCTAGACCTTTCCTGAATGGAAATGTAGGACTTGAACAGCTAGAGGTAGGTGGGAAGGAAGTGGCATAAACAAAAGCTCTCCAGCAAGTAAATATAACTCTTTACATTCTTTTGAAATAAAATACCAAAAAAAAATCATCTATATATATAAAAGGATAATATGCTAAGTGTCCAACTATCCAGGTAATAACATCCTGTAGTAATGACCGGCTTCCTCTCCCTAGCGACGACTAGCCTCCTTGCAGTTTCTTTAGCTCAGAAACATGACTTGCTTTATAGCCAGATGGAAACATTTCACACTTTAACCAAATGTCTGTGAAGCATTTTCCCATGCCTAATCTCATTTGATCCTCACAGAAGTCCTGGAGTAGGTAGATAGGAGACTCAGTGGAATCCTGTTTTCATTAGCTGGAAAATGGAGATTTAGAAAGCTTAGAAACTTGACCTGATTGAAGTAAGAAAAGAAGTAAGAAATGGTGGACCTTGAAAATGACTTCAGGTTTTCTCACTGTGCAGAATATAGTCAAACACTGCTGCAGTTAAATATTTTACCCTTTGTTCTCCCTGCATGACTATAATAATAATCTGCTTTGTGTTGATATTTACTGCTGTGTTGCTGACAATTACCTGAAAGAGAAGTTGGGCTGCTTCACTGGGCTGGGAAAAGTTTAGCTAAATCAGAAAGCAGGTCTAGTTAAGCAAATTTATTATATACATATATAATAAATTTGCTTAACTAGACCTGCTTTCTGATCAACTTAGCCTCTGATCAATTTAGGCTTAGTCAACTTAGCCTCTCTCTATATAATATATATATATATATATATATATATATATATATATATATATATATATATATATTAGCCTGTCTCTCTCTCTCTCTCTCTCTCTCTCTCTCTCTCTCTCTCTCAATTGTCCCAACCAGTGGGAGATCAACATGGAGGCGAGGAGGCACCTAGAAGGGAATGATAGAGGACAGGAGACGCGAAGAAATGGAGACAAGACAAAGTTCTGATCAAGCCTCGAATTTTATGGTTGAAGCTGCAATATATATATACACAGGCTGTAGGGGGAGGTTGCCGCGGGGACATTCCAAGGCGGGGCAAACTATGGGAGATCAGTATCCGAGGGAGAAGTTTCTTGTTTAGGCTCCTCGGGAATGTCAACGGAAACTGAATAGACCGAGGGGGGATGGGAAGCCTCCTTAAGGGCTGTCTCCCCCATTTCAATGATTTTTATTTCATGGGAACTTAATGCCTGACCCATGATCCTTCCTCTCTTCCACGTGAGAGGGAGGGGGCTGAAGAGGGGGTGCGGAGGTGAGGAGAGGCCAGTCGGGGTTATGATATCGGGCAGCTTCTTCCTCTAGGGTAGCCTGATCATTGCAGTGTCTTGTGGAGAAGGAGGTAAGGGCGGGATAAGTGTTAGAGGTGGGTGGCGGGGTTTTAGGGAGATCAGGAGAGAGAGAGAGAGAGAGAGAGAGAGAGAGAGAGAGAGAGAGAGAGAGAGAGAGAGAGAGAGAGAAAGAGAGAGGGAGGGAGGCTAAGTTGACTCACACATGTACGATACATATAAAGCTCTCACTGGTGCCAATTGCATCAATCCTGTGCTTCAATCTGTCATTGTTGATGTGAATTTGGTTGACACTTCTAATATAGAGAAAGGGCAAATAGTGATATTATAATGTTTCTTCTAATTAATTTTCTTTCAGTGTGCATGAATTCATATGCCAGGCCATTAGTAGAATATCATCTATTATTTGTTAAAATCCTAGAGGCTGACAGCTGTCTCAATAACTGTAAATTTTTTCTCTCTGAAGTTTGTAGCTCAGAACCAGAAAATGTTCAAGCTGACCCAAAGAATTACACCAGCCTTCTTGTTACATGGGAGAGACCTCGCGTCGTCTATGATAACATGATCGAGAAGTTTGCCGTTCTTTACCAGCAGTTAGAGGGAGAAGACCAAACCAAACATGAATTTTTGACAGATGGCTATCAAGATCTGGTAACTATAAGATCAATTGTTTCTTATATTGATAATATTATAGTTTAATTTTCAAGGAAAATCTTACCACTGGTTGTATATTGTTGCCCTTGGTTATTTAGAGTTGGCATGAAGGTCACCAGAGGGAGGAGGAGGAAGAGGACCTAGCTTAAGTTATGTCAAATCTTACAGTGAATCACACTAGGTTATTATTTATGGTTTTAATTATGGGAGACCACCACTTTGCCAACAACAACATTACAGAGCAGACACAGACAGAAGGCTTAGGAATTAGAAGTCATCTAGGGTCACTTCTCTTTAGAAGTAAAGGGACGAAAAGAGCAGTTAAATTTTTGGAGTGTGATCTCACGGTTGTGGAAAGAACTGGGCTGGAATCTCTATGCTCTGGCACCATCATGTGTTCTTTGCCCCTTCACGTTACACCAGCACAAGGCAAATACAGTAGGGCTCTCCAAAGGTCTTTTTTTTTGGCATCAAGTTTGCAAGTAGCAAAGAAAACAATTGAGATAGAACTTTTGGGACACAAGGCAGGTAAGCTTAGGAAAGATCTACCTGCTCTTCCTCCCTGCCCAGGCACATGAACTAAAGAAAATAAAGGACAGAGTCCCACGTGACCTGAGCGTCTCAGGAGCAGACTCTGCCTGGGCAGGGAGTGTTGGAAGTGTTGGCTGTGGACTCGGGGTTTCGTTGAGGCAACACCATCTGGGTGTGGCTCTAGGAAGATCCCCACTGCAGGCCAGACACTGCACTCTGCATTCAGACATTCGAGTCCCACATGCCCCAGGAAGCTGCCTTTAAACAAAAACTGTCTCTGTGATCGTGGTGTTGACTACCATATGGACAAAATGGATCAAATTTGTTCCAACTTTTAGATTCACTTAACTAGAACTGAGACACTATGAACATGGAAGATTGTGGAATTTATAGAAATACACTATTTTTCATTTCATAATAGTATGATGATAGTAATTCTGTTACTACCTAGCTTATATATTATTAAAACTGGAAATAAGCTGTTTTTCCCATTGTGTTTTCTTCACCTTTTGCTCCTTGCAAATGCTACGTGTTTATTTGTCTAGAATATTAATTTGCAGATTTTGACACTCAAGTATAACTTTATGAGTTCTAGTTAAAAAATGAAACTTTCTAAAACTAAATTGGATTTTTTTTTTTGTAAAGTTAAAAGATGCCTAGTTTTCTGTAGGTTTTCCATTTAACATTACATAAACATTTTCTTTGGTTAATAAAATATAAGTATTTATCATTTAATGAGAAAAAAGTTTTCAAGGACAAATGTGTACATGCTATACTCCTTGAAAATAACACAGTTATAATTTATTGACATCTTTCTTTTAGGGTGCTATCCTCAGTAACTTACTACCCAATATGAGTTACGTTCTTCAAATAGTAGCCATATGCACCAATGGCTTATATGGAAAATATAGTGACCAGCTGATTGTGGACATGCCTTCCAATGACCTTGGTAAGTGGCCACCTAGCAAGCCTTTATATTATCTACATAAATGCGGCTAGTTTCATTATTGGATGCATTAGTGTTTTCTCTCTGCTTTTATATCCTTTGGGCCAGAAGGCAAAATGATTCTCTTTATAGTCTGGGTCACGGGTAATTTTGTGAAACATGGAAGCCATTTTTCACCCAGCAGGTCTGGACAGGACAATCACTGAATTTACTCTGAATATTGAAATTTTCTATTTGTAAACTAAGACCAGCAAAACCTTTGTAACATCTGTGATGGTCATCAAATGAAAATAGCTGTGTAAACACTAAGACTTTTATTTTGGACAACGAGCTTTGGTTTCATTTGTGTTTATTTCCTTTTCAGCCCTCAAAGCATTTTGTAGTAAGTATATGTGTGATGCTGGGATTATGTAAGGTACTTTGGAATATCTATACAAAGCACCTCAAGAGTTTATCTAGATATTTTTATTCACTTTTTGTGATTTGGTCTGGGGGTGGGAGTGCTTTTCTCTTAGTTGATTTCCTAAAAGCAAAACAGAAAATTGGTTCTAATTGTATTTTATTTGCATGCATCTTCTCTGAGTATTATGGGGAAATCTTTTGATCTCAAAACATATGCAATAATTAAATGAATTGCTAACTATCATAATTTTACAATTTATAGATATACCTAATTAAACAAAAGTCTTCCTTTGCTAATATAAGCAGTTTTAAATAATAGAATGTAATTAAATATATATATCCATATATTTATACATGCATACACATACATACTCTACATATGCATATTTATAAATATATTCAAAGATACATACATAAATCTAAATATTGTGTGGTCATCCCTATAATGAGGTAACTCACTGAAATTTTTACAGGTTTTTAATGGAAATGAATGGTTACAAATTACATTAAGTATAGCAAGTTTCAGTCTTACATATGGATGGACAACTGATGTGTATTGACTTTCCTGTGGTCCATTTGCTATAGCATAGACTTTATTTAATCTATATGAGCTGTTCACTAATTATCTCATCTCAGTGAATTTTCACTGAAAGAATATATGCTAGAGCACTAGATATTAGAGTATGTATTTTTCCAAACTAAAGGCTACAAAACTTGCCAAGATATTTCCCAAGTTAAAACATTGATGGATAATGAATATTACTACTATCATGTTGGCAATAAGGTGATCCAGCACTGACTGCCACTGACAAGGCAGGTGCGATATGACTGGTTAGGGGGCCCCAGCTTTGCTCGACGATTGCCCAGCAGAGGGAAGCCCAGGCCACTGGTGGGGGGTCTCCATGATTGCCCCAACGAGGGAGGCCCAGGCTACCCAGCTGATGGTGGTGGGCGGGGCCTCCCTCTGCAGAGCAATCAATTGTGGGGCTCCTGAACTGCAAGAGGGCGCAGGCCAAGCAGAAGAACCCCCCATGTCCCTGAGAGCATGATTTCTGTGCACCAGGCCTCTAGTTATTTCATAATATTTCACATGGCCTGGGTATAAAAATCTTTCCTATTGCTCTTATTTAGCATTGTTTTTCAAAATCAGGTAACTTTTAAGTGGAATGTTAGCTCTAAGTCTTAAAATTAAAAGGTGAGTATCAAATGAACTGACCATGGTTTCAGCTGTACCATCTCATGCTCCTCCACGGAATGTCATCCCTCACCCAGCAAAGTGCTCCTATTGATCCCTTCCAAAAAATGTCATCTTTAGCAGTGCAACACTGACCATGTTGGTCAGTATCATATGTGATAGGGCATCCAAAAACCTCCTCGAATCCTATTGTGTCTTTTAAGAAAGGAATTATATTGAATATATTCACTTGATACTATCTTGGTTTCATGGTAGCTATCTAATTTCTTTACATAAAAGAATTTCCCAGTAGTTTACAAAAAACACTTGCTGTTAGCTATTTTTATTATACTCTTCCTTATTCTATCCACTATAGTGAAATTTAAGTCCACTATGGCAAAATTTTAAACTTTCTGAATGTTTTTTTCTTTTTGAGAAACTTATTGCATATGAAAAAATAGATCAAATGTCTATTTTTTATAGAAGTGATTTCTGAGTGTTCCTTTTAGACTGAATCTATATTGGCACAAAGTACAATACTCTTGTATCGTTTGTAGCACTTTCACATTTGTATAAAATAATCAATATTATAACTTAATTTCTATTTATTTAAAGGGCCGGGACACTATTGAACTAATGAGATGCTAGTGTGGACACACCATTTAATCTCCATGAATGGCTCAGTCTTTTAAAACATTTTATATTGTAATGATGTTTTAGTAGAAGATGGTATTCGATTTATGCTTCATTATGATACTCATTTTAAAAACCAAAGGTTAAAAACAAATAAATGATCCTTTAATTATTCTTTCAAAAACCACTTCATCAAAAGTCAATTTACCCAAAATTTGGGGTCTTCCTGTTTTATATAGAAAAAAGATTACTTCTTTTACAACTCATCCTTTCTGATCTTACAAGCTGCAGAATCATTCTAATCAATATGTTTTCAATTCATTATTGAAATTACATTATGTTAAATATTGTTTCTATGGTAAATACTCCACAGTACAAGTCATGGTTTAGTGTGATGCTTGTGATTTATGTGGCTAATATAGATGTAAGTAGATTTGAGTTTGCTTATTTCATTGTCTTTGTTATACCATTTCATCCTGTTTATCATGTTGTTTCATTACTTTAGTAACCTTGTAATATGTCCTATTGAAGTACTCTATTATTATTTTGGATAAACTGTTTTCTAAATACTTATTGTTTATTGCTTCTGCTCAAAAGAAATGAAGGAGGTCATTTATAATTGCCTTTATTATTTCAATCAATGATTTCAAATATTTTAATCTATATCTATGAAGGAAACCTCAATCTTCCAAACTGGGCATTTAACTTTGGTTTCTTAGATTAAGTTATTGCTTTGCATTAAATTATATTTGTTGTGTACAGCAGTATCACAATACACTATGGGTCATTAAATATAATTAGAATCTGCTGTTTTAAAATAAATTCATATTCTTAAACAATTTAACTTTTTTTTCCCTTTTAAAAAGGAAAACTTTTTAAGGTTAAACAGAAAGAACAGTCTTTTCAAATACTTTGCAGACGATTTTATTTATAAATAAATAATTTGTAAATATTGTTTCTATTATAACTGAAATAATTTTATTTGTTTATTTCCTATAAAGTAGAGCTAATTACTATACATTTGTGGAGACATTATATAGGTACATGTTTTAGGGCCTTGATAATTATGTGTTCAATTTAAATGCATGGTGAATTAAATCAACACATTTTTTTCTGTTATGTGTGCTTCTCAGTTGTGTCACAATTGTCTTTGTTAAATCACTCTATATCTGTCCTTATCCTGCCTGTACCATCCTACGCTATGGCTAATATGATATAATATAATATCACAGTTTGAAGAAATCACAGTCCACGTTGCTTTCACTTTTTGCACTGTGAAACTTGGCTTACCTTCAAACAATTAAATAAGTCTTTCTTGCCAACCTACACTAGTGTTGCTTTTTTTGTGTGCTATGGAATATTAATGTCTAACTAACAGGCTCTTTTAGAAAATCTGGCATTATAAGTACCCAAAACCAAAACCAGAATGGGTCAAGAGCTTTTGTTCAGTTATCACACAAATATGAATTTTAAGTATTTACTAAAAAAAAAAAAATTCTGACAATCTTGGCTGTTGGACTTTTACAGCCCTCATGGGATCTATTTTGATGAAGGGAGAGGATTCTGTTAACAAGTGTAATTTTTTTCACTCTTATATATGAGTGTAGAATCTGAGTCAGACCAATGGCTACTAAAACATTATCATTATTTGTGAGGAAACAGCAGGCCAAAGGGTACCCAATATGAGACCTTGTGCCAATCACTAGAGTTTGACCTTGGCTGCTATGAACTCTCAGACCCAGAAGTATGACTTCTGAATCTCCAGGATGATAGAAACTATCTCCCCAAATTATTTTATTTCAAAATTGTTTTGAAGAGATTCAGAAAAAAAAAAAAAAAAAAAAAAAAAACTTATTTGGATTATTTGGAGGGGATATTGAAGTGTTGCTGGGTAACCCCGATTTCAGATAATTAAAATGATCTGAGTTTAATAGGAAACCAGAATTAGGGTTTTTCAAAGTGTGTGTATACTTACCAATATGAAGGCCCACACATGGGGTACTCACCCATAAGAGTGCCTTGAAACAGAAGGGAATCAAAAGGCTGTGTGGATGCATACATGCTTCCCCTTTTAAAAAATATATCTTAATTGATTTCAGAGAGGAAGGGAGAGGGAGAGAGAGATAAAAACATGAAAAGTGAGAGAGAATCATTGATTAGCTGCCTCCTGCACTGGAGATGGAGCCTGTCACCTAGACATATGCCCTGACCAGGAATCCAATGATGACCTCCTGATTCATAGGTCATTGGTCAACCACTGAGCCACACTGTTCAGGCAGAACTTCAACTTCTTAATGCAGCAAACACAGAGTAGATTTACACTGTGTTTAAACACTGATACTTTAGGGAGATGTTTGGGTAAAATCATGTATTTTAACTTTTCAGGATCTATAATCCATATAGTTAATTTATACTCTGTAATGGGGGAATATGGACACATGTGTAATACCATAATCAATAAAGACATTTTAAAAATAATTATACTCTGGCAAAATGATACAAATAAATGCAGTTAACAGAGAGAATATTGATGGAGAAGAAAATCAGTCTTCAATGTGATCATTATGTGTACTCCCCCAACCCTGACAATGAATAAGAAAATTACTTTTACCCATTACAATTATAGAGTTAGGTGAAGTTAGGACTTTTTTTTTAAATACATTTTATTGATTTTTTTACAGAGAGGAAGAGAGAGGGATAGAGAGTTAGAAACATCGGTGAGAGAGAATCATCGATCAGCTGCCTCTTGCACATCCCCTACTGGGGATATGCCCGCAACCAAGGTACATGCCCTTGACCGGAATCAAACCTGAGACCTTTCAGTTCGCAGACCAACACTCTACCACTAAGCCAAACCGGTTTCAGCATGTTAGGACTTTTTTTATTTTTTATTTTTAAAAAAATATATTTTATTGATTTTTTCAAGAGGAAGGGAGAGGGATAGAGAGTTAGAAACATCGATGAGAGAGAAACATCAATCAGCTGCCTCCTGCACATCCCCTACTGAGTATGTGCCCACAACCAAAGCGCATGCCCTTGAGCAGAATAGATCCTGGGACCCTTGTTCCATAGGCCAATGCTCTATCCACTGAGCCAAACCGATTAGGGCAGTTAGACCTTAAAAAATAAATAAATAAATAAATAAATAAAAATGCACACTTCCTTAAGCATATTGGAGAGAAAAGCATATTTTCCGGCGTATAAGACGACCCCCTAATTTCACAGTTAAAGTGTAGGTTTAGGCCTATATTCGCTGTATAAGGCTACCCCCCACTTCAAAGAAAAGGCTTACTTTGCCGTCAAGATCTGCAGGTAATTTTTGTGCGATTTTGGTCTTTTGCCTCCGATTTTCGGTTGACTTCCCCCCCCCCCCCCCCCCCCGTTTCAAAAGTCGTCTTATACACCGGAAAATACTGTACCTTTGAGATTTTGCTCCTTGCTTCTTAACAGAGATAGAGCAACAGTATAATCTATGTATCACCAAGTATTTGATTATGATTTGCCCTATTAACATTAGAGTATTTTAAAAGTCCAGGAGAAGGAGTGACTGCGTTTGAAAGCATTTTTGCATTGTCTGACTGCTGAATTTGAAGATTTTACATGCATGACCTTCTTAAATTGCAGTTTTTACAAAGTCATACTGAAGTTGTTATATGTCTCTCAGTTTAGTTGTCTCCCACTTTAAATTCACATGTAGTGTTTCCTTTTTTCCTTGGCGGTTATAGAGACACAATTATTTCCGTCTATTGAAATCGCTTTCTTTGGTAACCTAAGAAATAAAAAGCGTGAAAATCATGGTGAGGAAGGGGTTTCATACAAACAAAACCATCGATAGAAAAGAGAGAACAGTAATAACCCAAACATCCAAACTCCTTCCGTTTTGGTCGGTTGTAATAAGAAAAAACATTGAGAGCTAACATTTAAGATTTGTTGTTCTCAGGGAATATTTTCATTTTTACAGCACAGAAAATTGTTCCGGGTAAGTAACTTTGAAATAGCTAACAATAAACACTATTAACTTTATCTATTTTTTTTTAATTCATGCAAACCACTGTATCTTATGGGTTTACATTTCTGAGCAGCTAGAAATTTCCTGATAAAAATAAACTCAGGAAAGTCTATGTTATAAAACGGGCCTGGGTTTGAGAAACATTTATTGTTAGGTCAGTCATGCATTTGAAAATTCTATAGAGCTTGCATTTCCTTTGAGGATATAGAGAGGCATAAGACAACATCAACAGCATGGGGATAGTGAAGAGCATAAACTTCGGTGACGGAATAAGATTTTTATAAAATAATAGCAATAAAAGCAACCTCATTGTAGTAATGCCCTCACCTTCCCAGATAGCCTGTCTCCCTCGGCAGCTCAGATGGAGAGTGAGCAGGAATCCTCTGTCCCCCAGTGATTAGCCATGGGGCTAGGTCTCTTCGAGAGAATCAGCTCCTAACCTTTTCTAATACTTACAGACAGATCTTGTTTTAGGATTCATATGTCCATGTACTAGAAATATGCTGATTCTCGTCTGTTGGAAAGTGGATTTGAATGATCCTGGTCATTGCACTCTTTGGATGGGCAGCATTAGCTGTGTTTCCCTGGGAGGAGGCAGGGAATGCCAGCCCAGCCCAGACCTGCTGGAAAACATGCTCCAGTTTTTCCTGGGGCAGCACCCTGTGTACAGTTAGTTATGAGCACAAATCTGAAGAATTAGAAGACGCAATCGACCCTTAATCAGAAGATGAACTTAGGGAATAGTAGCTGAATGAGAAAGTAAGTCCTGTTACTTCTCCCTCAAACCTCTGTCATCTCCCCAATTGTGCCTTCATCAGCTCTGCACAGGTTGTAAGTAAATCTGCACTGATGAAAATTTTTTGATTTTTTTATACTCAGAACATCAGCCTCACTGCCTCCCTCTTCCTTCTTTAGCTTCAAATACACAGGGGTGGGAATGGGGAAGGGAGTTGGATTAGATTTATACAGGTGCATGTAGTGTTGTGTTTTATAGTGTTCAGTAGTGTTGAAAACTGAAATTCAAGATTTTTATTTGGACAGATTCTGTATTTTCAAAGCTAATAGTCTTTTTTTTTTCTTTTTTCTCTTTCCATACAAAGGTAAACCCACACAGCTAAAAAATTGAATAAAAACGTTAATAATTTTGTTTTTAATTTCGTAGAACTTGACTTCTTTCCTGAATTAATTGGAGCTGAAGAAATAATCAAGGTATCATAGTTATATTTTATATTCAAATGTTTTAAACTTTAAAAGTCTATTATGAATTATTCACTAGGTTTCAGATATTACTTTAATAAAAATTAGTGTTGCATTAGATTTTGTAGGGTTGGTTGATGAGCTTCATAGATAGTCATATAATTGGTGTACATAATTTTTATATGAAGAACTTAGAACTTTTATTAATGGGTATAATAAAAATAATAGAGATACAAAAGATTTGGTGGTAATTAAAAATAAATCTTAAAAATAATTATAGCTATGAACTATAGCTATAAACCAGAAATTGCTCAGTGTCAAATTTTTCAAAAAGAATAAAATAATATCAATTATTTTTCCAGTTGTATTTTTATTTTTTAATTAATTCTTAATATTACTACAGTTTATTTATAACCAACTTAACTAATGATTAGTAGATTGATAATAACTATGGGCCAAAATATAAATTGAATATATTTTTTGCCCATTTATTTTGAATATTTATGTTTGGGCTATTCAGATTATAATGTTTGTTTTTCAAGTAAAGGGGTAATTAAAAATATTTGTATATTTTAATGTTGTCTTAATTTTTAAAAGATAGAGAAGTTGACTAATGTATCTTATATTTAATCCTAAACCCAAATACACTATTCATCGTAACTGAGATTATATGTTTAAATCCAGGTGCTGTTGTTAATATAGTATGAATGTGTGTATATATACATATATATGCGTGAGATCATAAAGTGTGATAACTCATGCTATTATCTAGCAATAAGTAGCAATTAGGTTGTGTTTTACATCAATACTTTATATAACTTACAGCAATTCTCTTTTTCAAAGGATTATTTTACCAATAGTCAGCTAAGAATTCAGCTAAGGGTATTTTTGTGTGAGTGTGTGTGCCTACATGCTTGTGTGCACATGCGCATGGATATGTATGTACCTAGAAATTATCACCAGAATCAAGCCAAAGGCAGGAAAAAGCGAATATTTTTAAGCTGTAAATTCAAACCTTTAGTTTGTGTCTTAAACTGGGAGTCTGGGATTAAGGTTCCAGCAAGATCAGGTTCCGGAGGGGGCCTTCTGGGTGGAGGCTGCACGCTTCTCCACATGGCAGCGAGCAGAGCAGAAGCGAGCTCTCTGATGACTCTTATAAAGGAACTGATCCCACTAGTGAGGGTTCCCTCTTAAAACCTAATTTTAATTACCCCCCAAAATCCCCACCTCCTGATGCCATCACATTGGGAGGGTAGAATTTCAAAAGATGAGTTGGGAGGGGGTGGGCACAAACAGTCAGTCCATAAACACTGCTCACTTTAATTGATTCATGCAGGAATGAATGATAGAGGTTGGAGAATATCTAGAATACATTTGTAGTGGGTTTAAGCCTCAATATGGAAATGAATAGTTTTGGGATGTTTCTTGGATCCTCTTTAAGTAGAATTGTATGACTTTGAAAGACAAAGTATCTCCAGCATAATCAAGGCTTTCCAATTATTTTTGAAAAATGGAAGTTGTGAAGCGCAGATCAAAACCACAGTGGAAGAGAGATTCACAATAACTCCATAAGAAATTAGAGGAAGAAGTAGCCATTAAAATATTTGTATAATCGTAAAGCGTGACTTATATATTCTTCTTGAAATGCTGACTAAGGCAGTATGGCTTCATAAAGATTTTCAAGATTGGATGGGTAGGATTAATAAATGATCCGTCACCTTCATCAGATTCTAGTAGGTATCTGAACTTCATAAAGTCTAAAATCTGCTAGAAAAAAGAGAAATAGAAGGGAGGTGTGTGTCTACCCACATATAGTAATTTTTTTCAGATTTAACAGAAGAAGGTGTGTAGTATTATGTTTTAAGAAAAATTTTAGAGAAATCCACAGAGCTTATGGTAGGAAGATAATAAAGTGTGTTTGAATAACAAAAAGAAAAAGAAACAATGCTATTTGATAGAAATGGTTAGATCATATAGAGAATATAGATGATGTCTTTTGGGAACTTTGGTTGAGAAGGGGAGGAGAAGATGGAATAATAACTAGAAGTTAATTAGAGAGGATGGAGTTGGTAGGCCCCTGTTTTGGGTGTTTTCGTGTTAGGAGGAGGTATGTGTTTGTCTGTGGCTTCTATTTTCCCTGTAAACAGTAAGGTGAATGAGGGGAGAGGAGAGCAGAAAAAGGTTGGAAGAGTCTTGGCAGAGGATAAGAACATGGAGTGATACCAGAAACTAGGCACAAATCCAGATTTGCAAAAATGAGGAAGAGTTGAGAAAATCCATGTTGTTAAACTTGACACTGATCCTCAGCAAAACTTTCAATCAGATTATAAACCAAATTTTTAAGAACTTCTAGGGAAAGGAGAGCTATCTGGCACCAACAAATTTTCCCCAAGAGAGAGTCGAGGCAGTCTATTCTCATTTCCTTTTTTATGAAGTATTCGGGCTTGTAGATTGAGTATTTTATTCAGGAAAATTATTTGGTTTAAGCACTTGGGTTGTCTTTATGAACAAGATATTAAACAATGCAAAATTATGAACAAGATATTAAACAATGCAAAATTACATGAATAAATACCACTAGTGAGGCGATTGTCTAGGGCAGTGGTCGGCAAACTCATTAGTCAACAGAGCCAAATATCAACAGTATATCAATTGAAATTTCTTTTGAGATCCAAATTTTTCGAACTTGAACTTCTTCTAACGCACTTCTTCAAAATAGACTCGCCCAGGCCCTGGTATTTTGTTTAAGAGCCACACTCAAGAGGCAAAAGAGCCGCATATGGCTCGCGAGCCGCAGCTTGCCGAACACAGGTCTAGGGGATCTAAAAGAATATTTATTTTTAGCATCAATACAATCTAGATCATTGAAATTGAAATCCTTCCCACAAAAGTCAACCTATCTCTTAGAAAATACTTAAAATCAAAATAATTAAGTTCTGGATATGAAAACTTGTTTTTACCAATGTAGCTTTTCATATGTAAGAGACATATGATCATGAACACACGTGGTTTAGAATTCAAATATTATCTATGGATATTGGTCAGGTTCTACCGATTAATTTCTACTCAGACACTTTTTTCTTCTTTTAAGGGACATGGCCCTAAAAGACCTAATAGGTGACAGTGCTAACAAACTGAAAATCATATCTCCTAGGGGCTAAAAATATAATATTTTGATACCTTTGGCAGTTTCATTTCTAAATATATAATTAGGCATGTTATAAAATGAACAGACTAAGTGGTCATGAAAGGCTGGATCACCTGAATGGTGTTTACAAAGGAAACACAAAATTAAATAACTAGCACTAGAAATGTATTGTGACAAGTTATCTCTAAAATGTCTGCCTAAGTCATTTGTTTGGAAAGTATTTCAAACAAAATGAAAAGCAAAAATAAATTTAAAAAAACCTCTTTCTATTATGAAGGCTTAAAAATTGTGATTTATTCTTAATATACACAATAAAATATGCTGAATGTGCAACTACTTTAGTCTTTGAAATAAGTTCTTTCATTGACATTTCATATTACAAAAAACTAAATTCCTATTTAGTTTGTTGTCAGATGCACTGAACAGAGAAACATAAAACAAAAAAATAATAAATACTATGTTACATAACACTCCCAGTAAATAAATGTAACTACAAAGTGTCTTCCTTTCAAAACTGTGGTATCTATTAATTTGATTACTTCATTATATAGCATTAAAATAAAGGCCGCCATAAATAAGATGTTTTCATTCAATTTAATTACTCTCTCTAGAGCGGTGGTTCTCAACCTTTCTAATGCTGCGACCCTTTAATACAGTTCCTCATGTTGTGGTGACCCCCAACCATAAAATTATTTTCATTGCTACTTCATAACTGTAATTTTGCTACTGTTATGAATCGTTCTGTAAATATCTGTGTTTTCCGATGGTCTTAGGCGACCCTGCTAGTGGTTCTCAATCTGTGGGGCGAGACGAAAATAACTTTATGGTTGGAGGTCACCACAACATAAGGAACTGTATTAATGGGTCGCGGCATCAGAAAGGTTGAGAACCACTGCTCTAGGAGGTGGATGATAAAGGTTATAGTATAGCGCAGGGATTTTCAACCCGGGTGCCGGGACACTTTTTAAAACATGGAATACCTGGCTCTTTAATTAGAGGCACTGACCTCTTTTCCCTTAGATTGTCAAGGGAAAAGACAATCTTTTGTCTTTTAAAAAATGTTGTCAATTAAAAAGATGACAACATCCTGGCCAGTGTGTCTCAGTGGTTGAGTGTCATCCTATGAACCAGGAAGCCACTGTTTGATTTCCAGTCAGGGCACATGCTCAGGTTGCCACTAAATCTCCAGTGGCAGAAGGCAGCAAATCAATGATTCCCATCATTGATGTTTCTATTCTTCTCTCCCTCTCCCTTCCTCTCTGAATAAAGAAGGAAAAACATATTTGGGGGGGGGGGAGGGAAATGACAACCGCCTAGTGTGAATGAAACAAAATTATATCTAATTGTTTCAGCAGATTGGAAAAAAATATAATATATTTTTGTTGGGCCACCGAATTTTAGTCATTAGTTTTTTTGTTCCAAGAGATGAGAAAGCCTTCTCTGGAATGATGCTTTATGGGAAGTCCCTGAGATCGCACGAAGATTAGCAGTATAATGCAGTATAAGATATTATAAAACAGAGATTTAGCTGTTCTCTTATGTTCCATTAAATCTTGTTTGCTTTTCAAAGGAGGAAGAAGAGGGAGAAGACACTCTTGTGAATCCTGGTAGAGACAGTGCCACAAACCAAATAAGGAGAAAGGAATCCCAGAGTGCTACCACAACAAACTACCATCGCCTGGGGACCAAATCCAACGAGGCCAAGACTAACCGGTCCCCAGCACGAGGAAGCGAATTCTCTGGAAAGGGGGCTATTCCCAGCACGTCCTTCGATTCCACCTCCCAACCAGTCACTGAGTTAGCCCCAGAAAAGGAGGCTTCTTTGACATCACAGACCGGGACCAAACCTCCTCCTCTTCACACTCCGGAAGGCACTGCAGCCTCTGAAGCGGTGCTCAGATTTCCGCACAAGACCATGCCTGGGACTGTGGAACCTGTAAGCACAGCTTCTGGAGTGGAATCTCAAGAGGTGTCCACTGATCTCGGAGAGGAAGAAAGCTTACTCGTCGGTGTCAAGCTTGACGGGGGAGCTGATGATGCGTCAGGCTCCAGTCCCACCCCAACTGCTGGCCCGTTTGCCTCTGAGAACACATCCCCCGGGTATGTGCTTCCTTCAGACAGCCGGGAGACCATCACCGATGACGTCCTCCTCCCAGACCCTGCGAGAAATGTCTCCGAAGAGCCAGCATCGTCGGGTTCAGAAGACTCCCTCCGAGACCCTTCCGGGGAGGGAAGTGTGTGGTTTCCCGGCCCCACGGATGGGAGGACACCGCCCGATGCTGGGTCAGGTGGCGAGGGCCTTCTCCAGACCCATCCCACCGAGATCCAGGCCGAGTCCTCTTCTGAGAAGACGGCCGAGTCCTCTTCCCCAGGCCCGTGGGTGTCCCGGGGCCCCCCGGTCACCGATATGGAAATGCCACCCTCTTCTTCCTTTGCCTTCTTCCCCACCGAGGGGACACCTGGCGCTTTCACTCCATCCTCCGGGCAACGTGACTCGGGGCCCACCGTCGGCATGGTCCCTGCGCAGACCACCCAGCCCGGGTACAACGGTGAGACACCTCTCCAGCCTCCCTCCAGTAGTGACGCCTCTCCTCTTGCCGCCCCTCTGTCGCTTGGCCATCCGATCCTCGACGCTCCCCCTGCCGCTTCCAGTAGCGATCCGGCCTTGCATGCGACGCCTGTGTTCCCCAGTGTCCCTGTGTCATTCGAACCCGTCCCGTCTGCCTTTGGTGGTGCGCCTTTGCTTCCGTTTTCCTCTGCTTCCTCCAGTAGTGAACCGTTTCGCCGCCTGCACACAGCCTCTCAGACCCTCCTTCCACGAGTGACCTCCACTGGGTCCCTGCATGCTTCTCTGCCCGTGGCCGGGGGTGATGTCCCGTTAGCGCCCAGCCTTGCCCCCTACGCTCCCGTGATGCCACATCAGGCCACTCCTGCTGCTGCTGCTGCTTCGGAGACGCTGGAATTCAGTGGTAGTGAAGCTGGTGTCCTTCATAAAACGCGCCTGTCTCCTCAAGCTGAGCCGTCCAGCGGAGATGTCACCGTGCATGCACGTTCTCCGGGGCCCGGGCCTTCCTCTGCCCTGTCTCATGCAGAGGCCTCCCGGCACCTCTTCACGGCTTCTTACGGTTCTGCGGTCCCCGTGCATGGTCCTATCGGTGTGTCTCCTCGGGGTTCCTCACTTAGCAGGCCTAGCCACACCCCCACGCCTCAGCCTTCGTTACTGTCCCCAACCGCACGGTGGCTGCAGCCCACTCACGGCCTCTCTGGTGACGGGGAGGGGTCTGGAGGCTCCTCTGATGGTGAATTTCTCTCACCTGACACAGATGGTGTGCCAGCCCTTAATATTTCCTCACCTGTTTCCGTAGCTGAATTTACCTACACGGTATCTGTGTTTGGGGATGATGATGATGATAAGTCGCTCTCTCAAAGTGATGTAGTGGATGGAAATCAGACTGAACTGCACATTTCTCCTCTCGCGGAGATGGGTTCCCAGTCTGAAAGCACGCCCGGCCTGCACAGCGATGTGAATAAGCTGCAAGAATCCCCTGTTTCCATTTCTATCACAAAGGGCACGCCTCCAGGCTCGCCTGCTTATACCGCCACTAGGGCTTTTGATCGTGATATTAGTCAATTTCCAGAAAATAGCTTTTCAATTCAACCTACACACGCTGTCTCTCAAGCCCCTGGGGATGCTTCCCTTACACCTGTGCTTAGTGCGAGCTCAGACCCAGCGCCCTCTGACCCTGCTTCTAGTGAAATGTTATCTCCTTCGACTCAACTCTCCTTTTACGAGGCCTCGGCTTCTTTTAACCCTGAAGTATCGCTGCCACCTTCTGATGGTGACACATTGCTCACAACTGCTCTTTCGGCTGTGCCTGGAGAGCCAACATTGGCTGCGTCCCCCGAGGCTGATCACATTAGTCCTACAATATCGCATCGCATGGCATCCACTTCTGCTTCAAGTGAAAACATGCCACTCTCTACATCTGTGCCAGTTTTTGGTGTGTCACCTGCTTCTAATATGCCTGCTGCCTCACTTGAAAGTGTAACCGTTTCTTATGCCAATAAGAAAGATGTTGAACCAGTCTTGCTTAAGGGTGAACGTTCCCAGCAAGTGGTACCGTCATCGCTCGGTAATAATAAGTTCTTCCAAACGGCCGGTTTGGAGACTAGCCAGGCCTTTCCCCCAAAAGAAAGGCAGGCATTTGCTACTCCTGTTTTATCGATGGATGAACCTCCCCATACACTTTTCACTAAGTTTGTCTATCCTGAGGAAGTCTTTACCTCCTCCCAGGGTTCCATTCCTGAGGAGGTGTTGGCTGGTATGCCAACAGTTGTTCCCGATACACTTTTAACTGCTGATCATTCTGCTCCTTTCGGAAATGTGCATGTTTCTATTCCAGCCGCTTTTCCCAACAAAGATGGTTCCGTTGCCACAACCAAGTCTCTGTTTCCTTCTAAAACAATTTCCGTGCTGACTCACAGCGCCAGATCGGATGCTGAGTTAGTGGGTGGTGATCGTGATACAGATGATGATGATGATGATGATGATGATGACAGAGAGAGAGATGGCTTAGCTGTCAATAAGTGTATGTCCTGCTCCTTCTATAGAGAATCCCAGGAAAAGGTGATGAATGATTCAGACCCCAAGGAGAATGGTCTTATGGATCAGAATAACCCCATACCATACTCCCTGACTGAGAAGTCTGAAGAAGAAAGTAAAGTCACAGCTGTGACCTCAGAAAGTCAGACCTATATGCACAGAAGTCCTGATAAATCACCATCACCAGATGTGCTCTCCCAAAAGCACAATGATGGGAAACAGGACAATGACATTCAGACAGCTAACGCCCTGCTTCCTTTCACGGCAGCATCTACAGCATGGGCGATTCTTGCAGAAGAGAGTGGATCAGGGCAAAGTATATCAGACAGTCTTAATGAGAATGAGACCGCCACAGATTTCAGTTTTCCAGATGTTAATGAAAGAGCTGTGGCTGGGGTCCCAGAAGCAGGTGACTCAGAAATAACCCCTGGACCCCCACAGTCCTCAGCACCGACTGTTGCTAGCAGGCACTCAGAAGTGGTCAACATTGCAGAGGCAGGTTAGTTGTGGATCAAAAGGATAGACTGAGGCTGGTGGTTTTCTTCCTCAAAAATTAGGAAAGTCATGAAAACATAGAAATTTGGTAAAATGATCTATCCGTTTTTAACCAAAACTTCAAATCAGTTTACTTCAAATGAATACTCAATTTTTTTTTTTTTGCTTTTTATTAAAATATTGTTGGCATACCATGTTGTGTTAGTTTTAGGTGTACAACATAGGGATTCAACATTTATATACCTTATGATGTGTTCACCACAAATCTATTACCCATCTGTCACCGGGCAAAATTATTATGTTATTATTGGCTCTATTTCCTATGCTGTATGCTATATCCCTAGGTCTTACTTATTTTATTACTGGAAGTTGTCCCTCTTATTCCCCTTCACCTTTTTCAGTCATTGCCCCATTTTCCCACCCCAACTCCAGAAGTCATCACAGTTTGTTCTCTGAATCTGAGTCTGTTTCTGTTTTGTTTGTTTTGGTCTTTAATTCTCTGCAAAAGAGAGAAAGTGACTTTTATTTACTGTCAGTTTTTCATGTTCTACATGATGCCTGTTGTATGTGGGAGCAATTATGCGTGCATAATATATTTTTACTTATCCTGCTTTTTGAATGATAGATTAACGTGTCCTTTTTTAAAGATAGTTTTCATTTTCATATTTACGTATTTTCTAAATTAAGTTACAAATGAAATCTATTGAATTCGAAAATGAATTATAAGATCTGAGAGTAATATGATATAAGCACCTTTTTCTGACCGGCTCCATGAAAAGGAATTACATAATTTGCACCATATTAGCTTGGGAACTTTATAAAAAAGTTTTGTTGCTAACTTTTGAGAGTGAATGGTGTGCTTCTTTATAAAATAAGGTTTTAATTTTTTTAAATTGTCTTTGTTTGATTATCTTAATGTTGCCTAAAGAGGGCAGTGTAAACTAACAAAGCACAGTCTACTATGTACTTGTTATATACCTTTCTAAGAAGTTAAATAATGGGCATTAATATGCAGTGTATGTACAGGTATTGTATGACAAGATGCAAAATGTTAGAACACTTTCTGTGGAAATGCATTTCATTTATTAATGTATTTTATGAAAATTAGTTTATTGGCCAGATGTTTCTTAGAGCAGATTATTTATAGCATGTTTTCTTCAAATGCCAATGAGAAAAAAAGGAAATTTAATACCATTAACCACATGGGATACTAGATAATTTTATTGAATTGATTATAAGAATTTTACAATTTACTTTTATTAAATTTTAAAGCACTTTTTAAATTAATAATGAAAGTAATTAAATCTAACAGTAAGTTAAAAGACAGGCTAGAGTAACATCTTTCACTATTATTGCATAAAAATGAATATTTATAATCCAGAACACAGACAGAAGACTCATTGGGAGATTTTTTCTCTTTCATTATTTGTATCCCTTCAATTGTATGCTGTTCTTTCAATACAGCAGCAATTAAAAGTTTGTATATTTTGATAGAGAAGTTTTCTAAGTATTTTGACTTGATATTATTTAACTTGATATTATTTAAAACTTAAACTCTGTGTGAGAATAAATAATGAACCCATAGGTCACCATATTCACTAGTGTATATATATATATATATGAAGAGAGAGAGAGAGAGAGAGAGAGAGAGAGAGAGAGAGAGAGAGAGAGAGGGCTCTAATTATAGTACATTTTTTAAATGTTTATCAAATGCATTTTAGAGGAAAATATTGGGAATCAATCTATTTTTCTGTCCTACTGGGTAGTGACATTATTGAGATATTCTTGCTAGATTATGCTTTTATAGAAAGACAATATATATAGGGAAATAACAAACCTAGAATTATTGACTAAAACTTAGCAATTTCTCTTCAACAAATCTTAGTAGATTTATGAATTATTAAAAGTATGTTTTCCCACTGATAAGGAGAAAACAACATGAATATAGCATCCCACATCATAAAATAGCAATTAATAAAGTAAATAAAGTAAAACAAGATTAGGGAAATTATGGCTTGTTTTTAAACCTTTATCTGTAAAAAGAATAATACATAATTTGTCTTATCAAATAATTTAATAGGCCTCTTTGTCAAATGCCTATTGACTAATTCTGAAACTTATAATTTGATTATGTATCTTTAAAGATAGAATAACTTACAAGACATGTTCCTCAAAATAATATAGGTAAGCCAAATATTAATATATGCAGTTTATGACTGCATAAACCTAGACACAGAGATACTAGATTATCTGATCCAGGTCAGAAACTGAAAACCTGAGTTATTGGTGCCTATTTCTTAGGACTAAGCTTTCGAGATTATAGATAATAAAATATGTATATAATGCTTAGTTTGTAATGCCAGAATTATAATGTTTTATTCTGAAAAGTTACTTTAAAATAATAATCTTAGTTTTTTTATTTTCTAATTGTCTATTAGTAGATTCTTGCCTTATCATTTCAGTAAGTCATATATACAATTTAGCTTATATCAAAATTAACATTTTAGTTTAATATATATGAAATATATAATATATATAAAAATCAATACAACTAGTTGTCATTATAACATGCAATGCAATCAGTTGATTGTGTGCATTGCCCTGTAGTATCCCACTTTGAACAAAAAAAACTAGGTTTCATAATATATAATTAATTATTATGGATTTATCATTCTAATTTCTCAAAGATTTTATTTAAAATCAGACGTCTCAGAAAACTTAAGAGAAAGTCTGTATACAAAACTATATTGTGCACATGTGTATGGATAGTGTGTGTACATAGTGTGTATGGTACATATGGTAATTTGTTATGCATTTTATGTGTTATGTATCTTATATAGCACATATATGATCATACATACCTCATATGTGTTGCACATGCATATATATATAAATGAGATATGTATGTATCTATATATGTTTATATGTATATTGTTATGGATATTTGTAATCATTGAAGACCTCTGTAATTATATAAGCTCACTTTGTATGTAAAATCATGTACATCATTGGTTCTCAAACTTTAATGTGAACCAGAATCCCCTGGAGGACTTGTTAAACACAGATTTCAGGGCCTTATCCACAGTGTCTTTAATTTCCAGAGAGAGAGAGAGAGAGAGAGAGAGAAAGAGAAAAGAGACAGAGAGAGAGAGATAACAAACCATTGACTTGTTCCACTTATTTATGCATTCCTTGGTTGATTCTTGTTTTTTGTGGGGGAAGGGTTTTTTTTGTTTGGGGGGATTTTGTGTGTGTGTATGTGTGTGTGTGTGTGTGTGTGTGTGTTTGCTGGTTATTTGTGTGTGTTTTTAATTCTTTATTATTGAAAGTATTATATATGTCTCCTTCCCCCCTACTCCCACCCCATTGACCTCTCCCAGCCTGCTTCTGCCCCCAGCACAGGCCCTCACCCCCCTATTGTATGTGTCCATTGGTTATGCTTATGCATGCATACAAGTCCTTTGGTTGATCTCTTACCACCCGCCTCCCACCTTCCCCTGCCTTCCCTCTGAGGTTTTAAAGTCTGTTCACTGCTTCTATGTCTCTGGATCTATTCTTGTTCATAAGTTTATGTTATTCATTATATTCCACAAATGAGTGAGATCAGGTGATACTTATTTCTCTGACTGGCTTATTTCACTTACTATATGCTCTCCAGGTTGACTCTTTTATGCCCTGATTGGAGACTGAACCTGTAACCTTGGCATATCAGGATAACACTCTAACCAAGAGAGTTACCCAGCCAGGGCACCACTGAGTTTCAGTAAATATGGGATAGGCCCCAAACATGCATTTTTAACAAATTTCAGGGGATCCAATGCCACTAAGGACTGCACTTCAAGAATAACAGACACAGATAATATTAACCACCCTTTGTAATTACTAGGTACCAGGAACTTTGCTAAGTGGTGATTTCATTTATTACACACAGACTTGCCATTTAGATCATGATCGTTATGATAGATAAAAGTGTGAAGACAATAAAATAAGGCGCTTTTGTAAATTTCATAGAGATATTTTAAAGGATTCATCGTCAGATTAATTCATTTTCTAAATGAGCCTTGCCCTAATACAGAACTGCTAGAGCACATGGCTAAGAGAGTAGAAAGTAACCGTATTCTCACAGAATATTAACTACAGCACAGGAGTCAGTTGACTTACAATATTTCCACTTTTCCATTTTATGATTTGTAGGCACATGCTTGAAATCCACTATATTGTTTTAGAAAATGCATCAATAACTTGAAAGAACAAACATTTGTGGAAATTTGGGTATCATTTCTGTGCCTTGGATCTGCGTGAGCAGATTAAATTGTTGGCCCTTTTTGCAGCATCCAATTGCAAAAGGAAGCTATCATTTTACATCTTAAGTTATCTGCATTAGATATATTTTGCTTATGAATGTATATCACTCTCAAAATATTTCAGTTTCCATCGAATCCGTTTGTCTCATGTCACTAATGGTAAGGTACTTCGTACAACAGCACCAAATGTGCCTTTTGTGAGGAAGCAGTGAAGACTCTCCTGGGGAACGTAAATGTGGTTCTTTCTAAACCTCTCTAGACAGACAGGCAGTGGTGTCAGCATGTCATTATGGTAGAACAGTTCTGTTCAGGCACTTTGTCTCCCACTGCACACACCTCAGAGTAGAAGGGACGATGGTGCCTGGCCATTGACACCCTGGATTCTGAACCACCTTTACCAACTTGGACAGCGCCAGTGGCAGTGATTTTGAAAATGCTAGAACAATGACATTCCTGATTGCTCACAAAAATACTTGTGACCTTTTTAAATGAACCTGAGGAGAGAATTTATTCTTTTTTATTTGCATATTTAAAAATAACTTCTTAGATCTATGAAGTCCTTCCATTCACGTGCAGTTGTATTTTTATTTTTGATATTTTTATTTTTGAAACATTGGATAAGAAAGATAACATTTTAAAGCATCCTGCACCTAAATTTTAAATAGTTGTTATCTTCATTAAGATTTATCTTAATGTAAGAAGGGTTGTCCTAAGATTCTCTTTGAATTAAATGATTAACTGCTCCTAATTATTTACCTAATTGCAAGATTAAAAATTAGTCTTATATGGTGATTCAGTAAGTAGCATTGTTTTCCTGATTGTTTTATTTAAAAGCTGGATAGCCTTCTTATTTTAATACTTCCATTTCCTTTTTAACAATCTTCTCAAGGCAGTATTATGCTCATTCTTGCTATGGCTCCCCTACCGGGATGCCAATCTCTGTTAGGATTTTATAGTTCTTCAGGTCTGATCTCCTGCCTTCTTTTTAGATTTTGGTTTATAAATTGGCTTATAATCATAAACATTCTTTGCATCATAGAGTCAAAATTTTAAAGGTAAGCAATTATTTGCAATTGTTTATGACTGAAAATTGCAATTATTTGATTGAAAATGTTGTAACTTTTTTTGACACTTAAATATCAACTCTCTTCATTTTCTCCGACTACAGAGGCCAGTAATAGTAGCCATGAGTCTCGTATTGGTCTAGCTGAGGGGTTGGAATCCGAAAAGAAGGCAGTTATACCCCTTGTGATCGTGTCAGCCCTGACTTTTATCTGTCTAGTGGTTCTTGTGGGTATTCTCATCTATTGGAGGTAAGTTGAGTGTTTGTTTTGTAAATGTTTCTCTTAAAGCTCAGATTTTTGCCTGTTTTTACCTGAAAATTTGTCAAAGCACATTCAGATTCCTTTTACTTGAGAACTACCATTAACTTATCCAGGTACTTTGAATGAGATTAGTTTTTGAATCCAGAGTCATAATAATAAAAGATTTGATTATTCTTCATACTTCAATCAAACAATGAAAGGTAAAATGGAGGACCTTTGGCTTAAGTTACTATAATACAGTACTCTTACAATTGTACTTTCATATTTTTCTAACATTCAAACCTTATCATAACATTTAACATGATTATAAGTTTATCTGCTTCAATGCTCCCACTGTTATAATTTTAAAAATTATTATTTAGGAACACATAATTTTTGATATAGTAAAAAATAGTTTTTTTAATTATTGGATTATGTACAAGATGCATACAACTGCATACTAAAAAAAAATAGTACCCCAGACGAAACCGGTTTGGTTCAGTGGATAGAGCATTGCAGACTGAAGGGTCCCAGGTTCAATTTCAGTCAGGGGCATGTACATTGGTTATGGGCACATCCCCAGTAGCGGGGTGTGCAGTAGGCAGCTGGTCAATGTTTCTCTCTCATGGATGTTTCTAGCTCTCTATCCCTCTCCCTTCCTCTCTGTTAAAAAATCAATAAAATATATTTTTTATTGATTGAAAAAATAGTACCCCATATATAAAAGTAGAATTCAAGCAATTAAAATATGAATTTAATTAGAAAATAAAAAATTTAAATAACATAAAGACCTATGGGATTTTAAAATATATTATAATTTGCCTCAAGGATGAAATTTAGCTTCCTTCCCACCTATAACATACTAAAATCTTGAAAAGATAGGGAAAATTGTATCCATCATAAGCTTCCCTGCCGATAGCAAGATGAACACAAAGCAAATTAGTGAGTTTAACATGGACACAATGTAGGTCAGTATAGCTGTTATGATTGTGTCAGTTAGTAAACAAGAACTTTATAACAATAAAGGGAATCATATCTGTAAACCAAGAAAGAGCATAGCTTAGTATTTTCTACTTCTGTTTTCAAAGAGTATTTTGTTCAGAAGATCTATAATTAACTCCTTTTTGCTATAAATCCATTAACTACATTTTGCTAGAAACCCATATTACCATTCTTTATGTGTTATCCCAAAATATATTATCATTTTATTAAAAATATTTACTATTTAAAAATATTGACAATTTTCCATGTACTACAACTATGGGAGAATATTTTTAAATGAATGAATGAATGACAGTCACTTCTGTCAAGAAATTTATGCTCATTGAGGAGAAAAATTCTCTATGGAAATACTATTATAGTATATAAAATATCATAAAAGTACATGCATGTAAAGCTAAAAGTGGTCTAAAAGAACTGAAGAGCTAAAGCTAACTGAGAACAAAGGATCTTGTCAGGCCAGAAATGGCAGGCAATCGTAAAATGTAGTGTTGGAGCTGAGCGAAATTCAGAAGGTAGAGATAGACCTGGCTGGCGTAGCTCAGTGGTAGAGTGTTGACCTATGAACCAGGAGGTCAAGGTCTTATTCCTGGTCAGGGCATATGTGAGACATACAGAAGCAGCCTACCAATGATTCTCTCTCATCATTGATGTTTCTATCTCTCCCTCTCTGAAATCAATAAAAATATGTTAATAAAAATATTTTTGAAAGCCTTCAACAGGCTTTGTAAAAAAAAAAAAAAAAAAAAAAAAGAAGGTGTAGATAAAGATAAAGGAGAAGGCATTGCAGGCAGGAGGCAAAACCAGAAGCAGCATGAGCTCAGTAGCTGAGAGCCATCCCTGATGCAGGTGGTTGCATGACATTGGTTGGCTACAGTAGAATGTTTTCAAGGCCAACTGCATTTCATACCTGATTTCCTTTACAGAACAGAATAGACTGCAGACTGTGGAGAACAGATCATGCTTCTGTTATTGTACATGGGTTAGGTGCCTATTTTGCAATGATGCACACAAAGCTGCTTTCTTCAGTAAGTTCTGTAGTTGCCAATGACTCTTTTTCCCAGAAGATCCCATGCTCTGCAGAGTCCCGAGATCACAATACAGAATTCATACATGCTTGCTCAACAAGAATTCATATTGCTTTTCTCCCTTCTTACCAACAGTGATATCATATTTATTTAAATGACTTATTTATATCTAATCTGATTCCCCCTGCCAAATCAGTGTTTGAACTTATTAGGAATTGGAGTTAAACAAATTTAAAATAAGATGGAAAGCAGGACCTAATTCTACTTTATAGTAAATAGTGCTAGAACAAAGTTCCAATGAAGATGTCAGATAGTTTAGTTATAACCTTGAAATAATTATTATGAGTCTTCTAGTCTCTTAATATTTTAAGTTTATTTTCTACAAATTTATTTTCTCTTATTTCAATACAATTTGATATTTCATGGAAAATTAAACTTTGGAGTGTTTTTTATCTTATATTAATAATGGGTTATTCCACCTGTATCAAGCATGGAAAAAAATATAAAATTATAAGTTGGACAAAATAAATTTTACTTTCACAATAAGATGTTTCTCTTTTCCTCACAAATAACACGTGATGTACCTTGAATAGAGAGTGCATTAGCACTCTGGTGGTTTTATGTGTGTGTGTTTTTTTTTAAATATATTTATTGATTTCAGAGAGAGTAAGGGAGAGGGAGATAGAAACATCAATGATGATAGAGGATCATTGATAGGCTGCCTCCTGCACATCCCCTATCAGGGATCAAGCCCGAAACCTGGGCATGTGCCCTTGACCAGAATTGAACTCACAATCCTTCAGTCCGCAGGCTGACACTCTATCCACCAGGCTAAACCAGCTGGGCTTTATGCATATTTTTTATATCTAACTATCAAATGTTTTGATAATTTTTGCTACTTTTACTTACCCATTTCAGAACTTGACATATTTGTTCTACTCACATCCACATGAAGTTAAGTAACTTAGAAATGTAACCTTTTAGATCAATAATATGGTAGTGGTATCATTTGCTAAATTACAAAATGCCAGTGTTGTACATTCTTCAAGATTTGTGTCAATTACCCAAATTCCAGTGTAGATGCATTTGTGAACAATATGATTCCACTAGTCAATTTAGGCCTTCCTGGAGACTGCAGCCTGTGGAAAGGTTATGATTTCTAACCTTTTAACCCTTAACCTTAAGCTAGCATGGCTCAATGGTTGAGCATCGACCTATGAACCAAGAAGTCATGGTTCTACTCCCGATCAGGGCACATGCCTGAGTTGCAGGCTCAATCCCCAGTAGGGCGTGCAGGAGGCAGCTAATCAGTAATTCTCTCTCATTATTGGTGTTTCTATCTTTCTCCCTTCCTCTCTGAAATCAATAAAAATTAAAATCATACCAACAAGAGTCCCAATGGCCCTTATATGGGTTTCCAAGCTTACATATTTAAACATTTTTCTAGCCTAGTTTTTAGAGGAAAAATATAACCTCAGAGTATGATGATAAATCCTCTCTTGTCTAATTTACCTAACTCAAAAGTGGTCTATGTTTTGTGTAAATCTTGAGAGAAAATATGTTGTAGCTGGAAGACAGAATAAATTAGAGTTATAAAATATAGATCCCTTCCCCAGTTCATCCTGGTATTTGCTTTATGGCCTTGGGCACCTCACTCTCCCACCTAAGAATTAGGCTTCTCTTTTTACCATTTGCAGGGAAGTTTTACTAGATTACCGTAAAGATTTCAGTCAGACCTTTCAGGTTTCTGTCATGAATTCAGCATGAAGAATGGATATTGTTTCATATTTGTATAAGAATCTAAAAAATTGAGTAATAATTACAAAATTTTAGTTTTTAATTCTAAATACTTATGGTGATGAAAAGGTGTAAATTGAATAATCAGATTAACGTTGATTGATAGGGCCTATGTCTGCAAGTTTAAAACAGTCATCACTTTCTCATCATGGCTGAGTGATAATTAGCAGGAGACATTGTGATCAACACTTAGCACATAGACGTGAAGACAGTCACTGCTTATACAGAACAGATGGACTATAGATAGTGAGTCTTGTCATACATTAAATAATATGCCTTGAAATTGTCTTCCAGATGTTTTAAGGTATAATTTACATAAGCTAAGTTGTAAGTTTTAAAGATGCAAAATTACTTTATAAGGAAGATATTTAAAAAATACCTTTTAAGCCAAAACCGGTTTGGTTCAGTGGGTTGAGTGTCAGCCTGCGGACTGAAGGGTCCCAGGTTCAGTTCTGGTCAAGGGCATGCACCTTGGTTGCGGGCACATTCGGGGTGGGGGAGGGAGGCGCGGTTTGTAGGAGGCAGCAGATCGATGTTTCTCTCTCATCAATGTTTCTAACTCTCTATCTCTCTCCCTTCCTCTCTGTAAAAAATCAATAAAAAATATATTTTTTAAAAAGTACCTTTTAAAAAGACAAAGGATAAAAAATTTTAGAGTTGTTTTAGTAGTTAGAATCTAACAAAACAAAACAATAAAAAAACACCACCAAAGTTATATTCAACAAAACAGCATTCATTAAAAGCAGTATAGAAAAGAACTTGCCATGGACACATTGTTTTGACTGAGGGGAGTGGGAAGAAAAGCATTTTGAATTCTCTCTTCATCTTAAATGTAAGTGTGCAGGCCCTTGAGGGGAGCTACCATCCCAGAACAGAGGCCTCCCAGTACCATGCTGCCTTTTAAGTAGAATGTCACTTCCTAAGTACGATTATCTAGTAGCAATATACAAATGCCCTTCATCCAAATATTTTAATATTTCCCACTTATAAGCTTTTTTGTATGATTTTCCTACTTACAAGATTCTTTTGCTAAAAAAAAAAAAAAAAAAAAGTAGAGTTGGTATTTACCCAGATACTACAGTGAACATTAGCAGCATGTTAAACCTCAGTACCAGTGTGTTTTTAATTTATCTTTTCTGTTGTATGAGATGCTATCTTCTTTCCATTTTCTCAGAGACAAGCTCTTTCTATTTGTCCTTCCATTCATCCATCCATGCATTCATCTTTCTCTAGCTATATACTCCACTTCTCCCTCCCAAATGCTTTGAGATTTTTAAGTTATCCCATTTGGGGCTTGAGTGGATTAGAGACTTTAGAATGCAGCTATAAACTAATTTATGATTGGTGGATTTACTTGCTCCTGGAAATCCATCTAATCTTTTAATGTTTAACACCTACTGTACTCTGGGCACTATATTAAGAGTTGAGTCTACATAAATCCCATCTTTAAATATATATGGCACAAAATAAACATATTGCAAAATAATTACTCTAACCACCAACTAAGAAGAGAATTTAAAATAAAATAATGGAGAATAATGTCCAGTGAGATGGAGGTCAGGGTTAATTAGGCACATTTTTGAAGTCAAGTAAAGGTGATTGTGATTGGAAGTTTGCGTTAGGTGCAGTGGAAACAGAGAAACTGAATGCTAGAATCTGCTCAGACAGCCAGGGGTTGTTTTCCCAGGGAAGATGCCGCTGAGTATCTCGAAGGAGGACAGCGTTTGCCTGGCATCTCAGGAAGAGAGGCATTTGACCAGAAGGAGGACAATGTTTACAGCCGGGAGGAGAAATACTGAGTTTGGACAGACAAGGGCATGTTCAATTATCTGTAACTTGTTAGTATTATTAGAGTAGAAATGTCAAAACAGGTGAGGACCATAGGTAGATAGGGTATACATGTTGTAAGATACCGGGTACCATAATCTATAGGTCTGTAACATACAGAACTAGAGCCAGTGTGTTAAAGGAATAGGGAGACTGAGTTCCGGTTTGATACAAGAACGATTTCAACAGTAAGAGGCACAGCAGGGGGACAGGAAGGCCTGCCTTTGGTGCCATTTGGAGGCACTTAGAAGGGAATGAGCTTTGAAGTAGGAGAAGGAAAAAAATTTCTAGAAGCTAAAGATAACACAAAGAAGTGAGCTCCTTGTTACGGAAGGCATTCAGACAGGGCCTTCTTTCTGTGTCAAAGATGCTGCAGAAGAGATTCTTGTATCAGCTGCTATATTGCTCTGTCTCTTCACGCATCTTATAGCTTTAAGACTCATTGAAAAATGAATACAAACCCTTTTACCTGCTTGAGTAACCTTATTTTAGAGGAATGAAAGAGATTGTATTCTGTGATCATAAAAGCAAGTGTCTAACCCAGTTTCAGAATAGGCTACATCTGTGGTTGCAAAGATAAACCAAACTTTCCCCTAGGTTTCTGCTCCAGTCTGCTTTCAATTCTATTCAAATATGGTCTTTTAATAGGATTGTTTCTTTATTGATTGACTGATTGGTTGATTTCAGAGAGAGAAACATCAATTTGTTGTTCCACTTTTTTATGCATTCATTGGTTGCTCCTTATATATGCCCTGACCAGGGATCGAACCCAAAACCTTGGTATATTGGGGCAATCTTCCAACCAACTGAGCTATCCAGCTAGAGTTAGGGAATGGTTTCTTTATCATAAGACCTACCAGAGGCCCGGTGCACAGATTCGTGCACCGCTGGGGTTCCTCCACCTGTCCTGGGGGATTAGGCCAAAACTGGCTCTGACATCCCCCCAAGGGGTCCTAGAATGTGAGAGGGTTCAGGCCAGGCTAAGAGACCCCACCGGTGCACAATCAGGGCTGGGGAGGGACCTAAGTCTTGCCCAGTTCCAATCAGCAGAAAGCTAATTTACTGGTCGGAGCATCTGCCCCTTGGTGATCAGTGTGTGTCATAGTGACTGGTGGAACAGTCAAACAAATGGTCAGGCACTTAGCATATTAGGTTTTTATTATATAGGATGGTCCTCATCCCTCCCTCCACTCCTCACTGATCTGCCGTATCTACTCCACTTTCCAGATGTGAACAGGATCCCTTTGTCATCTGATTCTACATCCACTCATTTTCCTTTTATACCACCTGTTCACTTTTTAAGGCATTCTTGTGTTCTCTCCATTATCTATGCTCTCACAGGTCTCATTATCAAAGACATAGCAGCATTGCAGCAGAGGGCTAGGTTTTGCTATGCACATCATTGCTTTTGAATTATTTTTCTTGTGACATGAAGGTTACAAATAAACTATATAATGTTATGTGACTCATACTGATAGCAATGAATTCATTGAACAAATATCTGAGGGCCCCTACACATACCAGACCTGTTCTTAGCACTGAGAACTAACACTGCACTGATTAAGACAAAGTACTTTGCCTTCATGGGATTTACATTCTGATGAGGTGGGACCAGCTAAAAACATATAAGGTAAATGAACAGATACATAAATAGGCCATCACACAGTGCTAAGTGCCACAAAGCAAAGGGCAAAGAATAGGAAGTTGGTGGGCTAGGCTGGTATCTTTAGCTAGCAGAGTCATAGAAGGACTCTCAGAGGAAGTGGCTTTTGGGCCAGTGCAAAACTGATGGGAAAGATGAAGGTGGCCAGAGGTAACAGCAAGAGCCAAGGGCTTTGGGATGGTGCTAACAGGGCCTCTTCCAGGGAGAAAGAGAGGAGCCAGGAGGACTAGAGCCCACTGGGTAAGGGAAAGTGTTACAGGTGATGAGAGAATTGAAGTAGGCAGGGGACCAAATCATGAAGGGTCTTCAGTCTTTCCTGAAATACTTGAATGCCATTCTATTGGGAAGCTATTGAAGAATTTATGCAGAGAACTGATTACTGAAACAATGTAGGTGTGTCATGGAAGAACAAATGTTGTGTTCGAGTTCATTAGGATAAATATCTTGTAGCTTGACGCTTTTAAATGGAAAATGAGATTGGCATTTTCTCACATAGATATTTCTATTTAAGCTTAACCACTCATGAGTAATGCTTCAAATAAATTAAATGACCCACATCAAAGAGTGTCATTAGCAGTTTTAATTATCTAAGTTTTTAAATGAAGCATGTTTTGCATTCGTTTATACAGCAGTTGGTTCTTTGCTCTTCTCAGGAGTTTGTACTGTGCTCTTACCAGATGTTACACTTATTATCTGAATGGAAATAGGTTCAGGTGACATTGTAGGTTATAGTTACGGTTGATTCCAAATATGTTTATTCTCAAAACCCTCATCAACAAGGCCAGCATCTGTTGGGAAGAAAATCACCCCTATTTTTGGTTATATGCTCATTATTTCCTCACTTTGTTCTGTCATTAGTGCATTATCATACAATATAAAACTGACTTCTTTTTTCATTTTATTTCTATGTGATCATAGCTTGCTGCCTTTTGCTAGCAGCTGACTGGGCTCGGAAGGGCTTGGCCACTGAAATATTGAGTGAAAATAGCTTTGGACAAGCTCTTTTCCACTGTGGTCCTGTCCAGGGTACAATCAGTGGAAGAGTAACTAGGGTGTTAAGACATTCTACCTCAGCCAAGCTACAACTTCAACTACAACTTCAAATACCACCACTGCTTTCAGCAAGTTTGATATCCACTTGCTCTTCTGCATCTGGTATATAAAACTGAGATAAATTAGGAGGCCATAAATTGCTCCAATACTTTGTGTTTTATAAAATAAATACAGATGCCCCCTTATGTTTTGTTTCTGATTATTTCGGTCATGACTTTGAGGCAGCACAGAAATTGTCTCATTCTCTGAGGCAGCTGGTAGTTTAAATTGCTTTCTTTCCTTTCCAGGAAGTGCTTCCAGACTGCGCATTTTTACTTGGAGGACAGTACTTCCCCCAGAGTGATATCCACACCTCCAACACCTATCTTTCCAGTTGCAGGTAACAGCTTAACGTATGGCCACGAGGAGCTGGTTGATGTTGAATGAAAAGCAAAATGCTGGAAGGGTTGTCCTTACTGTACTTTGCAAATGCCTATAATATACTTTCATAAACATTTGTGTTGTCCAAAATATGTATTACATCATGTATCAGGCACCCAGTTGTTTAACTTGTTCTCAGAGATTTTGAACATTCTTAACCATACTCATGATGTGGGAAAATAGTTTATAATTGTTCAGATATACTATGTTAAAGAGCATAAGCATTTACAGCAATAACATATTGGTTAAGAATAATGCTGAGCTTTGGTCCTTTCAGCTTCTTTTAATGCAAACCTAAACAAAACAAAAAAATGGACTAAACCAGTGCAGTAGGGTGGATAGGACAAAATAACAAAAATGAGGAGAATTTTTAGTTCTTTCTGACCATCTGCATTTGTGTGGGAAAAGGTTTCTTAACTGTTAGAAAAAAATCAACGACTTTTATCAGAACTTGCCTAATTAACACTATGCAAGAATCAGCCAGTGTCATTGAAGACACCCATTGACCCTCGAGTTCACACTATGACTACATTCCCAGACACTTATTTTATTACCATTGTACAACCTCTCAGCATGAAAGAGGTAACAAACAAGGAATTGTCTAGAAATGTGTGACCTATGGAAGAAGCACAGACAGAAGGTGAGATAAGGACATGGAAAGTCATTAAGTCAGGGAAAACAAGAGGAAAAATTCATCCACGTGGCCATTTTACAGAAGCCTCTTTTTAAATTTTCTGGGATTACATATATATATTATTGCTAAAGACACAAGTTTCACCTGATATTATCTTCTGAAATCTCATGATTTAAAAAATGGAAAAAAGAGAAGCATTTTCTTTGTAACTTTTAACAGACATAGGAATTAGACATCTTTGGTTGTTTTTTACCTTTCATCAACTCTGTCTTTAATCCGCTACTGTTTTTTGTTGTTGTTGTTGTTGTTTTTAAAATATATTTTATTGATTTTGTACAGAGAGGAAGGGATAGAGAGAGCTAGAAACATCGATGAGAGAGAGTCATCGATCAGCTGCCTCTTGCATACTCCCTACTGGGGATATGCCCGCAACCAAGGTACATGCCCTTGACCGGAATCGAACCCGGGTCTCTTCAGTTCCCAAGCCGACGCTCTATCCATTGAGCCAAACTAATCTCGGCCCGCTACTGTTTTATTTCTATTTAACTCTTTATATTAAACTACTGTGTATTTATGTTAGTATAGCATAGTGGTCGGCAAACTCATTAGTCAACAGAGCCAAACATCAACAGTACAATGACTGAAATTTATTTGAGAGCCAAAAACCAACTTCTGCTGATGGGGCCAAGAAGTTTCAATCGCACTATACGTGTGCGCCTCACGTGGTATTTTGTGGAAGAGCCACATTCAAGGGGCCAAAGAGCCGCATATGGCTTGTGAGCCACAATTTTCCAACCACTGGTACAGCACAATTTCTCATGGACATATAAGGGATTTTGAGACTTTCAGTTCTGTTATCTATTGCATTTTGATCCCCTTCCCTTTCAAACATACCTCTTCTACATGTCCTGTTAGCCTGGTTATGCAAATTAACCATAATATTATCCAAAGTCCAGCATAGGCTTCTATTAACAATATAAAAAGTTAATCCAAGATCAGGACCTTGTTTAGGAAATCCAAAATCTCTGTTCTGCTTCTCAGAATGGTGATCAAGGGATCTCCTCTTTTTTCCCTGCTCAGCTCTCAAAAATGCACTCTTGATCACTTGAAAATGTGTGCATTTTCATATGAAATCGGAAAATAAAAAGATATTTGGGTCTCATTTGCAGACCAATTCATAAAAGTAATCAGCAAAATAGCAAAATTTTAAATAAAAAGTAGTCCGTGTGCTTGTGCACAGAGGTTACCTGTGCAGGATAGCATCGGTGGATTTGAAGGATCTTTAGTAAAGAACCAACAATTTTGATGCCACAAATTATTTCTGTTTCCTTATCTGCTTATAAAAGCTGCTTGCAGGCAAAATCCTCCAGGAGGTGTGAAGGTGGAGTTACACCTTTGTCTAGAGTTTCTTAAACTTAACTGGCTAATTCAATGTTAGTATTCAGGTATACTCATCTAAGAGAGAGAACAGATGGATTCTAATTTTTTTTTAATCAATCAATTCTTGGTAATTGAGGCTTAAAAATATTAAATGTCCTGGATGCTTGAACAGCTGTTGATGTAAATAACTGTTCCCAGTGAAATGTGTTTGATGTTTCCTTGTCAGAGAAATCACTTGTGAAATTGCATGCTGTGAACTAGGAATATGTTTAATCGAAGAAAGTCTTTCCAGGAATAAAAATAGAGCCAGTTGAAATAATTTGGCCTCTTCACAATTAACTCACAGATATGATAACTTTGTTTTCTTAGTATATTCAACTTAAAATTCTTGATATACTAAAGATTAAAAGTCCCAAAGATTTTTTATATCATTTTCAATGAATAGTCTGCATATAAGTCTTCTCTATTGCATAGAAAATAAAGGAAAAATGTTTTCAACTGTAAAAAAAATCTTACTATTTAACTGTAACACAGTGAGCCTTACAATTTTTTAAAAACTGAAATTGCACTATATATCATGTCCATGGTAAAATTGAAAGTATATTGTTTCTGCATTTTCCCCTAGAATTTACATGCAACTCATACCCATGTTAAAGAAAGTTGGCCATAAAGAGTTGCAGTTCACTGATAAGAAGTGAGGTTTTGGTGGTATTTATCATTTAACATTGAAAATGAACTCTTCTCTCTTTGGAATATAAAAGGAAAAAGAGATTCTTCATCTAATCAGAATTCTAAAATGCAGATTATGATAAATAGTAAATATAGAAAACATTGGCAATTGTTGCTAAAGGTTTCATTGAGGTTATACGAATAATTGAATTTTGAAGTTCTTTTAGAAGAAGCCTCCTAGTAAGTCTTTATAATAGGAGGCACATTCATGTAAGTTGAATCATCCTTTCCAACCTCATTTTTTTTTATTCACTTAGATGATGTCGGAGCAATTCCAATAAAACACTTTCCAAAGCATGTTGCAGACTTACATGCAAGTAGTGGGTTTACTGAAGAATTCGAGGTATGATGTTACTACGTCTATGTTAAGTAATAGGGAAAATGGCAAATTTAAACGATTCAGCAGTAGACTATTTTTTGACCTAATAACATTGAAACCATTTTCACTTCTAGTAAGAATATTAGTTCAATATTTGTGTTTAGGAGATGTGTTATGATTATCATATAATTTAGAAAATTGGTTTTCCATTTTAAAAAGCCATGTCGTGCTAATGAAAAAATTTAAAAAAAAAACATAGTTAATACTGGCACATAAAATACAGAAATCTAGCATTCTTTTTAAAAATAATAGGCATTAGTAACACTGATTCCTTTTAATTTTCTAAATTATATAAATTACCCTAAATGACTAAATTTTTAAAAATATATATTTTATTGATTTTTCACAGAGAGGAAGAGAGAGGGATAGAGAGTAAGAAACATTGATGAGAGAGAATCATCGATCAGCTGCCTCTTGCACACACCCTACTGGGGATGTGCCCGCAACCAAGGTACATGCCCTGGACTGGAATAGAACCTGGGACCTTTCAGTCCACAGGCCGACACTCTATCCACTGAGCCAAAATGGTTTCAGCTGAATGACTAAATTTTATGCTTTTCATCCAAAGTATATACAAAGAGTTAATTATAAACATCACGGCAGTGTAAATGCAGGAACATTTATTATACAGATATAATAAATATTATACAAAGTGACATCCCAATTTCTCAAAAATATACACTTAAAAGCATTTAAAATTTACAATCAATGAAAATTTTTTTAGTAACATCTCTTAAAATACTCCTAGGTAGATGAGACAGATAATTTGCTGTGAATTTATCATGGCCCATTGAACTATCGGTTTACAGACTTTTCAAAATAGGGTCACCTTTCATACTTTCAGCCTTCACCCAACTCCAGGAGTTATTTGCTCTTATTTACATGACTGGTGACATCAGTTTCCATAGAAGTGAATTAATAAAATAGCAGGGCTGGAATTCAAAACTAAGATTTTCAGTGCCCCCTTCTTTCCCTCTAGGGGGCATCAGGTGGCTTTTCTGTCTCTCTGCTGAATACCCGAGTGCTCCAAGGACTTCCTCCCTCTTTTTTTTTTTTTTTTTTTTTTTTAAATAATATATGTTTTTATTGATTTGAGATAGGAAAGGATAGGGAGAGAGAGAGATAGAAACATCATTGATGGGAGAGAATCATTGATTGGCTGCTTCCTGCACACCCCACACTGGGGATCCGGCCCACAACCCGGGCATGTACCCTGACAGGGAATCGAACTGTGGCCTTCGTAGTTCATAGGACAGGGCTCTGCCAGGCTAAGGGCCTCCCTTTTTAAAGCACTTTCAGCTCTGCTCCTGACCAGAGAGTGTGCCACTCTCTTCATTGCGCCCAGCAACTGCTTCCCAGGAGTCACGCCAGCCAAGGTGCACTGAGGGAAGGAAGGTGCCACAGATCAGAAAACTTTAAGAAATCAAAAGAAATTGAAATGAAAAGTGATGTTGTGTCACTAAATTTAAAATAGGCAATTCACCAGATCTTAAAAGAAAATTAAGCCATGGCTACTGAATAAGAAATCAGTGTGAGATAATGACTAGGTAAAGTGGAATAATATAAAGAATTACATATTTTAAACATCAAATTAGTTGTTCTTACGTATTTTCCGGGATATAAGACGACCCCCTAATTTTACACTTAAAACATAGGGTTAGGCCTATATTCGCTATATAAGACTACCCCCCACTTCCGAGTTTTCAGGCTTTTTATGCATGCAAATTATACATGTTCTGTACCTGAAGCTACACTGTGTTCTAGTAAAAAGCCTGCTCAGATTGGCCAGAGTCAGAGAGGCGGTCTATTAAAAAAAGAACTGGTGTTGCCTCGGAAATGGGGGGTAGTCTTATACAGCGAATATAGGCCTAAACCTATGTGGGTTTTTCTTGTTTGTTTGTTTGTTTGTTGTTTTTTAAATATATTTTATTGATTTTTCACAGAGAGGAAGAGAGAGGGATAGAGAGTTAGAAACATCGGTGAGAGAGAATCATCGATCAGCTGCCTCTTGAACACTCCCTACTGGGGACGTGCCCACAACCAAGGTACATGCCCTTGACCAGAATCGAACCCAGGACCTTTCAGTCCCCAGGCCGACGCTCTATCCACTGAGCCAAACCGGTCCCGGCTAAACCTATGTTTTAACTGTAAAATTAGGGGGTCGTTTTATACTCCAGAAAATATGGTAACAGAGGTTACCGAGTGGTCCCATGATACCTCATAGAAACTGCCAGGCTCACCTCAAACAAAATTGTAATTGAAAGAGGGAGAATGTGCCAAAGTCTGATTCTCCAAATGTGAAAAACCATCAAGAAAAAATAGACAATTTATAATAAAGTGGCTGATAGCATATGGGCAAAAGCAGGTTTATCGCTTTCACAACTATACAATCATTTTGAATATTACTATGCTATTTGTAATAATGAAATTAATAACTTCAAGAATGTGTTTTTTAATTCCATTGCTTTTAACTCACAGTTTGAGTCAAGAAAGAAAACTTTTCATTAACTTAATAATTAGCTTAGTAACTAATAATGTTATACTTTTTAAATATTAAATTGTTTTTAAATCTAGAGTCAGAATGACTTGCTGCAAAAAAAGACATTAAAAGCTTACTTGGAGAGAGGCTGGGCCATTTGTGATTAATCAGGTTCATATTGGGGTTATATACTTTCTCAAAAAAGTATAAGGCTTTCATGTTATTATTTTAACATTAAATAATTATTAATTTCAAACTCATATAATTAGAAAATATCTCTGAAAAAAATTTTAGCTCATTTTTAAAGATAATTGCCAGAAGTAATTTTCTGTACCCATTAAAGTTTAAATTAAAAAGAGTCAGTGTATAGAAAGTAATGCTATCTAAATTTTTGTTTCAAAAAATATATGATAAAAAGTTTTTGGAGATTTTTAATATTTTGTAACCCTAAATCTATTTCAAACCACCTAATTGGAAGTGTTTTATTCTTTAAAATTACTCAAACAAAAATATGTATCACTAATTCAGTTTCAAATAGTGCTACAGTGATCAAATAGCATTATATTTGGTTATTAGCAAATTAACTAACATGACAAAATGTGTCCTCAAGTAGATGGGTTTCCTCATCTGAATTTTTTTAAAAACCATCATATTATTGTACCACTGTCCTTTTTTAAAATGTTTATTTTTCCTTTCACATAATTTTAAAGTTCCAAATCGTTAGAAATTTTGATTTGCATGTGACATGTTTGAAACATTCTGTTTTGTATTTGACAAATGTATTTATTGCATGATCATAGTTTTCCATTGTAAACCTAATATGAACACTTTTTTTTCTCATTTGTCGTGTGCTGTGGAATTTGATTTCTTTACTTATTTGGCATTCATTTCCTCATTAGACACTGAAAGAGTTTTACCAGGTAAGGCATTATTTCACTGCATTTTCTCTTAGCCAAGAACTAGTTGTAACATGCTAAAAAATTTTTAGATAGACTATTTTTGTTTGTTTTGTCTTCATTATATTTTAAGGCCCTTTCTCTGAAAGGACATGTGTGAAAATGTTGCACGTACAATTTCTTTTCAGGAAGTGCAGAGCTGTACTGTTGACTTAGGTATCACGGCAGACAGCTCCAACCACCCAGACAACAAGCACAAGAACCGATATGTAAATATCGTTGCCTGTAAGTATGTCCTTCACTCAGCTCTGACTTGGTTACCATTGTCATTGGTATGCCTTTAAACAATGTCCTCAAGTCTTCTCAGCAGCCCTATGGTCGCTGTTGCCAAACCTTTATGTCAGGGAATAAGATATGTGTTAGATAATAGATCGAATTTATCTCTGTGATTTAAATGCATTTTGCCATTAAGGACACCTATTTCTTTTATTTTTTTAATTTATCTTTATTGTTGAAAGTATTACAATTGTCCCCACAGCACTATTGTCTGTATCCATGGACTGTGCATATATGCATATAAATTTTTTGGTTAACCTCGTCCCACCCCCCACCTCCCTCTTCCCTGTTTTTTTTTTTTTAAATAAAACAACTCATTTTAATCCAGTCCTTTCCTCAGGTCCCATTGACTATTATATAAATCTATTCTTACGGTTTCTGTCATTATTTATACTGGTACTATAGGCCTGGTGCACGAATTTGTACATGGGTGGGGTCCCTGCAGGAATTGGCCAAAACCCCAGTCCAACACCACCTGCAGCTCCTACCTACCACTCTCGCTCATCCTGGCCCCACTGAGCCTGCTGTGGGCTTGCACCCAATCAGTCCCTATCAGGAGAGGCTGGAGCTGCTACAGCAGTGCTTGCCAGCCATGAGCCCTGTGTCTGGCGCCCTCTCAAGGGGAGTGGCCTGTGGGATCGGGCTGAAACCAGCTCTCTGACATCCCCCAAAGGGTTCCAGATTGCAAGAGGGCATAGGCCAGGCTGAGGGACCCCACTGGTGTATGATCAGGCCAAGAAGGGACCACAGGAGGGTGCCAGGATGTGTTCAGCCCATCTCACTTAGACCCTATCTACCAGACCCTACAGGTCAAAGCATCTGCCTCCTGGTGGTCAGTGCACATCATAGCAACTGGTCAACCAGTTGACTGCCCCCTGGTGGTCAGTACACCCCTGGTGGTCAGTACATGTCATAGAGAGTGGTTGAGCAGCCTTAGCATATCATTAGCCTATTATGCTTTGATTGGTTGTTCAGTTGTTCTACTGTTCAGTCTATTTGCATATTACCTTTTTATTATATAGGAATTCCATGGTCCTATTTGCATTTGAGATCTACTTACTATTATGTTAATTTATTAACCAAGGTATATTTTCTTTGGACTTTATTTTTCCTTCCACTCTTTCCTCCCTGTCTTGCCATTCTTCCTGGGGTCTTGTAAAGGATTAGTTGGATTCTTTCTTTCCCTTTATTTTCTTAGTTATGTTTCTCTTTTTCTTCTCAATAACTCTTTTCCTTAATGCAAGTTTACCTCTTTTTTTTTCCTATGAAATTACCATCTTTCTTCTGTTGTTGTTTTTTAAATTGAAGTATAATTGACATATACACATTATATTAGTTTAAGGTGTACAACCTGAAGATGCAACATTTGTATATATCACCTCTTGCTTATATCTCTTCCCTCTGATTTTCTCCTATATTCCCTCCCCTCCATCTCTTGCAATCCATCTTCATCCCCCTTCCTGAATCTCTACTTACATTCTTTCTTATATATTCCATCTGCTTCCCTAGATCCATATGAACATAGTATTACCGGCCTGGTTATTTAAATACTGGTTCCAGCCTAGTTTCTGTAGGCCAATGAAACTGCACTCGCCTTCCTTTGTTACTACATTTTTTGCATAGATCCTGCCTATCTCTCCATGGGGCTTACACCAGTGTTTATTTTTTTAGTAGAAGGTCCCTCTTCATGTTTGTCTTCCTCAACTGAAGCAACTGTCTGGCTGCACACAAAACTCAGCAGCTTCTTGGAGTGGGTGAAGTTGTTAAACTATTCCCATTACCAGCTAAATAGAAAATGCCCAGCAGGTAACTGAGAAGAAAATGGAGATGAACATTTGTTGAATAACTCCTATGTGGCTGGCACTGTAAAAACATCATTTTGTTTAGCCTGAGATTATTTGGATCAGTGGATAGAGTATCAGCCTGTGGACTGAAGAGTCCCGGGTTCGATTCCGTTCCAGGGCACGTACCTCGGTTGCAGACTCCTCCAAGGCCCAGGCCCTGGTCAGGGCATGTGCAGGAGGCAACCAATCGATGTTTTCTCTGACATCAATATTTCTGCCTTTCCCTCTCTCTTCCACTCTCTCTCAAAATCAATGGAAAAATATCCTCAGGTGAGGATGAAAAAAAAACAACAACAACCACAAAACATTATTTTGTTTAATTCCTGAAACAATCTGGCAAGATAGGTAATTAACAGTCCTGCTTTAGAGATGGAGAAAAACAACTTGGAAAATTTAGCCAGTAACATCCATCGAAATATATTAGAACAAAAGTACAAAAATTGGTGAACCTGCCTCACATCCCTCGTTCCATTGCCATACATTATTTCTGCTTATATCCCTGCGCCTGTGTGAGCAGCTGTCATCACAGAAGCATTAATATCGCTGAATATCTCTAAATCTTGTCACTGATTGGTCTGTACTCACTTCTTTACCCTTAAAAGAATAGTCTGCCCTGTGAAACTACCATGTTTTCTTCCATTAACATTTTTCTTTCTTATTCTGTAGTTCTCCCAAATAGTTTCTCTGCAGAAATGCAGCTAATCCCACACACTTCATTTCAATTTATTTAAATTGCCACAGTACACAGTGTGGAAGTCACTATGGCTTTCATGGACAAGGCAGGATCCATATCTGTTGTTGGGCAACCTTTCTCCTGCCTCCTTTTGCAGGAGTTCCTCTTTGAGGTTCTTCCCTTGATAGAGCTGTTTGCTGTAACTGTTACAAAAGTCCAGAAAGAAAAACCAGCAATGCTTCAAGAGTTTGGAGTCACACTTTAATATACACCAGTAGGCTTAGAGAAAAATGAAGTCAAATTCTAAGCAGAGCAAACAAGCAGAATTTTTCTTTTTATTAAAGAGCCAGCCCTATGTGTGCTTAATGGTTATCTCGCTGGAAGCATGTGGCCTTGAGAACAACACAGTTCTATCCAATTAAAAAATGCATCCTGCATGGTATGAGAGTATGGGGGTATCTAGTCTCTGGCCTACAAAGTCAGACAGCTAAGTTTATCTTCCTCATTATTCAAACAGGCTAGAAAGCTAAGTTATTTTTTCCAGAATAAGGGGCCATCTGAAAAATAGCAGAGAATTTCAAAGAATGGTTTTACAAATTAGGGGTTAACCTTCTCATAACTATTCACAGATTCCTCCTAGGTCCCTTGTGCTTCCTTCTCTACTTTCCTTCCTCCCTCAGCCTCACCTTCAGAGCATTCATACAGCCATCCTTCCTCAGCTTCCTGAGACCCCATCACTCTTCTCTCCCTTCAGTGGCTCCTCCCAGTTCACAGCCCAGGATCCACCTTTAGACACCTATTTAAGATGTCAAGTTCAGATTTCAATCTCTACAAAAATGTTTATCATCCCAAATCAATACAGGTTCTTCCTTCATGCCCCCTACTACTTTGTACCTCTCTCAACGCCTCAGCCTTCCTTTCTGTGTGCATGTCCATTCTCACCTTCTACATTAGAAAACTTGAAGTCAGAAGCTCTTATTTTTATATTTATCTTTGTCATCTCTGGAGTCCCCAAAAGCCTGCTATAGTAAATTACATTGCATTGATTCTAATTATACTTGACAAATTATTACATAAATAGAAAGAACCTTTATGCTGAAAAGTAGTCCATGCTATAATGAAATATTTTTTTTTTATTACAGATGACCACAGTAGGGTTAAGCTGGCACAACTTGCTGAAAAAGATGGCAAACTGACTGATTACATCAATGCCAATTATGTTGATGTAAGCATGCTTTAAATGAAATGTTATAGAAATTATATTAGAGTAAGAATTTATTGTGCTACTTACTAGTATTTAATACATGTTATATGATCAATAATAAGAAATACAAATCAGTGGTGAGAAATTTCCCTGTTTAAAGGATTTCAGACTGAATAACAGTCCAGCTCATAAATATGGTTTATCTTCTAGATGTGTGAGGGATTCAGGCTGGGGATGTATACTCAGGGTAGGATGGATGGATAGATAGATAGCTAGATAGATAGGTAGGTAGATAGATGATAGATGATAAATAGGTGGTAGATAGATAGATAATAGATAATGATAGATGATAGATAGATAGATAGATAGATAGATAGATAGATAGATAGATAGATAGGAAGAAAGAAGGGATTTAGGGAGGTTTATAACCCCTTCAATATGAGGGGCAGGACCAGTGCTTATTTTACATGTCCCAGAACTCCTGGCACAATGCTGTGTAGATAGCAGATGATCAATAAATCCTTACTGAAAAACTCCCAAGGTGGTTCTGGCTAAAAGTGATTACTCCTAACCAGTTATCAATCTTCATAACCTTGGGCATCCCTCAGGACACCAGCTTTGCAGGACCTGTTAGAGTCCTTGGGAACTAACTTAATTGGTTCTTCGCTGTGGTCAACGGAATGTCAGTGAAGCTCCGTTATTCTCCTGACAGTGAGCTCTCAGTCTTGCTGCCTTCGTGTTTATGCTGTGTGGAACACTGAATTCAAAGATGTGAGCACCAAATATAAGTACACAGTGGGTTTGTTGTAGGCAACCATTTCTTGCTTCCAGATAAGGCAATAAGTATGTCATATGAAACATGGGGCTGGGAGTCAGCACTACCTGTTTTGAATCCAGGTCTGCCACTGGCTAGCTGTGGGAGCTTGGAAAGCCACTTAACTCCTCTGAGCTCCAGTGTCCTTACCTTGAAATGAGGATGGTGCTTCCATTTAGCATGTAGCTTATGGATTAGAGTCAATGTCTGTAGAACATCTTGGCCAGCAATGGGTGCTCACTGAAGCATAGTTATTAATCATTAACGTTGCTCAGTTTCACCAAGGAAAGGGTAAGGAGACACCAGAGATTTCCTAACTGTTGTAAACAATTGAGTCCCAATGCCTGGACCACACTTCAAAGCCGCACTATTAAGGACCAGATATTAAGCAAAGTCCATAGACTTAGAGTAAATGTACTTGGATTAAAGATGCACAGAATGGTACACCTCTTTTTCTACAAAAACATGTAGCTAAAGAAGTGTTGCTTTGCAGGTTTATTTTTTTACAATTTTCTTTTATAGAAAAAAAAATGTGCTGACCTAAAAATGTAAGTCTTAGATTGTTAAAAATGGCACGCAAATCAGTTAATAAGAAATGTTTTCATTTATTTCTTCAGGGTTACACCAGACCAAAAGCTTACATTGCTGCTCAAGGCCCCCTAAAGTGCACAGCTGAAGATTTCTGGAGAATGATATGGGAGCATAATGTGGAAGTCATCGTCATGATCACAAACCTCGTGGAGAAGGGAAGGGTATGTGGGTAATCCCTTATGGCATCCCCAAAGTAACAACTAGAGGCACTTCAAAGTGCTTTCATGGAGTCAGCTTTAGGAAGCAGCCAAAGATAGGAGAGCTCATCAGGATTCTTTTCCAGGGAGTATGACAACTAAAGGAAAACTTAACATTTTAGGGCAAAAAGTTTCACTATTAATCCAGTTGTCTGCTATTGAAATGCATTCTTTATAGTTTGGGGAAGATAAATGGAGTTCTTTGAGTAGCAATGTGGAGTGAAGCTGATTATAATTTAGAGGAGCTGTATTCTAGTGCTGGTCCTATGGTGACTAGATACATTCAGCCTCACTTTCCTCATCTGAAAAAGGGAAGTTTGGACCAGATAATTGCACTGTCCTTTTGCTTCTTTGATCTGTCTCTGGTCTCCTCTTCAGTCAATCTGGTATCACTTAGGAAGGGAAGAAATATTTAGAATAGTGCGAGAGTCCATTCCTGTCACAGTCTCAGACCTTAAGGCACCCCTCTTACTAGTACATTGTGCATTGGATATGGAAAAAGCATCTTTACTTTCTCTTTTGCAGAGAAAATGTGACCAGTACTGGCCTGCTGATGGTAGTGAAGAGTATGGGAACTTTCTGGTCACTCAGAAGAGTGTTCAAATGCTTGCCTATTATACTGTGAGAAATTTTACCCTTAGAAACACAAAGATAAAAAAGGTGAGTTCGTAAACACATCTGGCTCCTTTTCAAGTGAGTGGGTAGTATAAGGAAAATAGGGTAAAAATGTATAATAAAGACATTAAGCGCTTTTATTGGGTGTACCGTTAATAATATTGGATTTTGTAATCAAATAAAACACGATAATTTCAAGAGTAACATCAAAAGTGCTTTATTCAAAGTAATGTCCATTGCTAGCTACAAGTTTCCCCATCTTTCAGGTAATTTGTGGATACTGTCCTAATACAATACAAGGACTTTTCTTGTATTGAGGCAAACAATTCAGAGACCCAATTTTCTACTTCTTTGTATTTTGAAGTGCTGTTCAGAAAGTGCCTGTGCTATTGATCGGAACAAGTGGTAATCTGAAGGAGCAAGGTCTGGTGAATACTTCCCAGCCAAGATCTTTTAACATGTCTTCAACTGATTTTAAAGTGTGTGATGGTGTGTCATCATGAAGCAAAATTACTTTGCCACGTCTTCTGGAACATTCTGGTTGTTTCATGATCAAAGCAATACTTATTCAAATTGATTACTTGCTGTTGGTAGTGATCAGTATTAACAGTTTCACCTGGTTTTAGAAGCTTTACACCATACCTTCTTGATCCCACCAAACGCAAAGCATTATCTTCTTTCCAAAGTGATTTGGCCTTGCAGTCAATGTTGATGGTTGACCTGGATCACCCCATGATTTTGTGCATTTGGGATTCTCAAAATAAATCCACTTTTTGTCACCAGTCACAATTCAATGCAAAAAAAAATAATAATAATAATATTTTCTTTTGTGCCATTGAAGCAACATTTTACTAATGACTCTTCGGTTTTCCATTTGTCTTTTGTTCAGTTGATGTGGCACCCATTTTCCTTCCTTTAAAACCTTTCCCATTGCTTGTAAATAATTGAAAACTGTTTGCTGAGCAACGTTTAATCTTTCTGCAAGTTGTTTTTGAGTTTGCCACACCTCTTAATCCAATAATGCTTGTAACTGTTGGTCCTCAAACTTTTTCGTTTGACCTGAACATCTTTTTCTTTCACATAGAAAAATATCACTTTTAAAGCATTTTAACCAGTGTTCACAAGTATCTTGAGATGGAGCATGTTCACCATAATTTTCCCGAGGTATTCAGCAGCACTTTTCTTCAAAATAAAGTAATGAATTAAAACTTCCAGCAAATGCTCCTTTTTTGGCACGAAATTCAACGTTTTTAAGCATAAAAATATCTATGATGATAACACCTTCAGCAAATTTGACATATGAAGTTTTGAAACTTATTGTCAATACAACAAAATAGCATACATATCAAATCGCATATATATATATATATATATATATATATATATATATATATATATATATATATCAACACATGTGTAACTCCATCTATTGAAAATAATCCGCATTAGCCAGTACACCTAGTATAGCTGCACCTCAATCTCAAAGTTTCTTCCAAGTCTCTAAATGCCAGCCTTGGCTTTAGAGCTAGACTGGACATAGTCCTGATGGTTGCAGTGGATTTGATGCACAAACAAAAATTCCTGCCCCCTTGATCACTGCACATCCAACTAGAAATAGTGGAGCTTCAAGTTAAAGGAAGGGAAAAACAGAACAATGATGTAGTAATCAGAGAGGGAAATAGGAAGAGAGGGAGAGGGAGAGGGAGAGGGAGAGGGAGAGGGAGAGGGAGAGGGAGAGGGAGAGGGAGAGGGAGAGGGAGAGGGAGAGGGAGAGGGAGAGAGAGAGAGAGAGAGAGAGAGAGAGAGAGAGAGAGAGAAAGAGAGAGAGAGAGAGAGAGAGAGAGAGAGAGAGAGAGAGAGAGAGAGAGAGAGATTGACTGACTCCAGGGTGGAAATTCAGGCAGTGTCTGTATTACAGATGGGAGAAGAATTCCTTCCTCCCTCTTTCAAAAACCTCAGTCTGCTCTTCAGGCCTTCATCTATAATTGCAAGAGGCCCACTCATATTTTAGAGCTTAACCTGCTTTACTTAAAGTCTATTAATTTAAATGTCACACACATATAAAATTATCTTGACAGAAACATCTAGTATGACTTGGTGTTCGACTAAACCAGTGGTCGGCAAACTGCGGCTCATGAGCCACATGTGGCTTTTTGGCCCCTTGAGTTTTTAGCAAAGGCCATCTTAGGAGTATCCTAATTAAGTTAATAACAATGTACCTAACTATATAGTTTAAGTTTTTGATAGATCCTCCCTGTTTGGAACTCAAGAGGCTAGAGGCCTGGCTAGCCTGGGAAGGGCTGCGGAGCCTGTTTCCTTCCCGCCTCCCCGCCCCCCCACCCCCAACCCCTGCCTTATAGAAATACTTAATGGAAGGTCTGAGGTATGGCTATGCATTTTTGAAGGACATAGAAAGAAGGTTTGAAGGCTAAATTTGAAAGGTTTTGTGCATATAAGGCACATGATTAGGGTCCTAGGGACTTAGGAATCAGGGGCTTAGGATATTTGGCAGGTGCTGATTGGTGGTTCAGTGCTCAGGAATGTCCGGGCTGTATGTGGAGTTTACATCATTCTCTGTCCATCAGTTGGAGGAAAGGAGGATCTATCATTTTTTTTAAAAATTGGCTCTCAAAAGAAATTTCAGTCGTTGTACTGTTGATACTTGGCTCTGTTGACTAATGAGTTTGCTAACCAACCTCTGGACTAAACCACAGGCCACTACAGCCTGGCCAAGTCAACACCTAAGCTCAGCCACCACAAACAACAGTGTGCACATTTCCTTCATTACAGGCTGATGACATCCAGCTATGAACCCTAAGCCGCTTTAGAGTCCCATGTGATTTGTATGTATTCCTGTGATTGGCTGTCTGGTCTCTTCCAGGGCTCCCAGAAAGGAAGGCCCAGTGGGCGCGTGGTCACGCAGTACCACTACACGCAGTGGCCCGACATGGGAGTGCCAGAATACTCACTGCCTGTGCTGACCTTCGTGAGAAAGGCGTCCCAGGCCAAGCGCTACTCAGTGGGGCCCGTTGTTGTCCATTGCAGGTGAGTCCCGGAGATGGGTTTCTAACCCATAGACTTGCTTATGCTGATGACAAGGGAATCAGTGGAACCAAGATTTTGCCAAAATGGGAATGTTTTCATGAAGTGGTTTTGAAACCGGACAGCCAATGGGTCCAGGCTGCCGATCACTATTTGAGCCAATTCAGCAGAGACAGGGTTGAATAAACAGGGTTGACTGTTTATTCCAATGAGAGCAGCAAGTCATCCACAAAAATCTGCTCTGCAGCCCCCCCTAAACCAGTTGCTTATATAGGGTAGGACAAAGATTGCACGGAGAAGTAAGGATTACAGGTATAGGGAAGTAGTTAATTTAGGCTGGGGTGAGACCTTTGGGCAGCAAGGTGGTTCATCTTGTCATTCTTGAATGGAATGGACCACATTCCAAGGTTGACTCCCAGGTCCTGGGGGCATACAACTCCCAGCCAGGTCAGAATGTCCTTCCTTTAACCAACACTAGGCAATCATGGTTAACAGCTCATGATTAATATTTCCCATAACCATAGTGTTAATGTAAAAACATTCAAACCTATAAAGAATTTGTGAGTTTATTGAGCCAAACTGTTGACAATTGCCAGGAAGCAGGATCTCAACAGATTGGGATAATGCCCTGGAGGATGGCAGTTCTTCACCTTGTTTTATACATTGCAATCAGAGGAGGAGACGTAGTTAGGTTCCATGAACTCCATTGGTGATAGATTAGAGGTGGGAGAAAGCAAAAGAGGGGAGAGGGAGAGGCGGAACCTCTGGGATTGGATAAAAAATAAAATGATAGACACACACTTCTTTTACTTAGGTGAGTGCAGGATAGTTAACCGCAACAATTAACATGTTGACAATAACAATGAAGAAATTTGTGATCTGACCTGGCGTGCTGGGCATTTGGTTGTGCCTCGAGGGTTCCGGGAGGGCGGGGGGGGGGGGGGGCGCGGGGGGAGTTAAAAGTTACTCTGACATTTCAAGGATGTGTTATCGGAGATGCCAAAAGACAATAGGCTCAGTTCAGGTAAAGACTGGCCTTATCAGGGAAGAGGCTGGCATATGATGTGACTACCCACCACAACTGCTTTAGTTAAAATTTAATTTCAGACCATCCTTGTGGTTACTTTAGGTCTTACAGTTTGCAAGACCGCTATGCAGGCCTTCCCTGAGCTTGTCAGATTAGCATGTGCCCCTTTTGTCCACAAGGGTAGTCCCCTATATTCTATTTTTGCCCCTAACAGTTTCATGAGGGGAATGAAATTACATACAGGTTTTCAAAAATATTGATGACTAGGTAATCAATATGTCAGACTCACAATTTGATTGCTAAATATTTCAAAGCATCAGGTATTGTTATAATGTTTATTATATCCTATTTGACTGTTGAATTTGGTTTCAACTTATGAACCATGTGAGGCAGGAGAAACAATATTTTGTACTTAAACAAACATTTATACAATACTAGAGGCCCAGCACACGAATTTGTGCACAGATGGGGTCCCTCAGCCTGGCTGGCAATCTGGGCCAATCAGGGCCATCTAGCCCAGTCCTGATTGGGGGCCGATGGGGGCCGATCGGGGCCAGCCAGTTGGGGAGAGGGACCATGGGAGGTTGGCTGGCCACAGGAACTTGGCTATGGTAATACACTGACCACCAGGGCAGCTCCTGCATTGATTGTTTGCCCCCTTGTGCATCAGAGCAACTGGTGGACTGGCCAATCGGCTGGTCATAACAGTTGCTTAGGCTTTTATATATATAGATAACGGCATGAGATAAAAATGCTTGAGAAGCAACCCCTGTTCCTAGGACTTAATAATCTATTGTAGAGGGTTTGTTTTGTTTTGTTTTAATCCTCACCCGAGGACATGCTTAGAGAGAGGAGGGGAGAGAGAAACATTGATATGAAAGAAACATCTATCTGTTCCCTCCCATATGCGCCCTACTAGGATCATAGCTACAACACAGGTAGGTACTGGGAACAGAACTGACAACCTTTGGTGCACAGGGCAATGTTCAGCCACATTGGCAGAGCTGTTGTAGAGTTATTATGCCAGGCTTACATTAGAGAAAACGAAGCACATGAAATGTGAGGAATTTGACAGAATACTTTTAAAAAATATATATTTTATTGATTTGTTACAGAGAGGAAGGGAAAGAGAGAGTTAGAAACATTGATCAGCTGCCTCCTGCACACCCCCTACAGGGGATGTGCCCACAACCAAGGTACATGCTCTTGACTGGAATTGAACCTGGGACTATCCACTAAGCCAAACAGTTTCGGCTTGACAGAATACTTTGAAGTTGTTTTAAAACAGTTTTGGATTTAAAACCCTTTTCTTATTTTCTTGAGTTCTCCCTAATATATCCTACTGAATGTGTTATCAATTCATCCTTGCCCAAGTCATTTAATTTCCAAGCCTGGATTGATGATAAGGACAAAATGGATATAACAGAGAAAGAGGAAACAACATTGGCGGTTCCAGGTGCAATTTTTCAGTTAAAATAAAAGAAGCAGCTGAGACCGGTTTGGCTCAGTGGATAGAGCGTCAGCTTGGGGACTGAGGGGTCCCGGGTTCAATTCCGGTCAAGGGCATGTACCTTGGTTGCGGGCATATCCCCAGTCGGGGGTGTGCAAGAGGCAGCTGATTGATGACTCTCTCTCATCGATGTTTCTAACTCTCTATCTCTCTCCCTTCCTCTCTGTACAAAATCAATAAAATATATTTTAAAAAAGAAAAAAAAAATAGAAAAAAAAGAAGCAATTAACCATTCCTGAGTGTTGACTCTCCACCAAGCTTTGTGACCATAGAAATCAAATCCCTCTCTGTGTGCAGTGTTTTCATCAAAGCAATACCTGTGTTCTCATAGAAGCAAGCATTTTCCTTTGCTCTACAGCTTATCTGACATATTCTAATTACCTATCTCAGGAGTTCTCTTCAGACAAAGTTTGAGAGACCTATCTTGAGGTTTTTATCTGTTCGCCTGAAGATAAGCTGAGGGAAACAGGAAGATGCAAGGAAAACAGCTCTGAAGGTCAGGAATTGTTTCCTAGCAAATGGAGAAGGACCAGGGTATTGTGCAGAGCAGGTGCCAATTTTCCTTTCTATCACTTTCCACTTGTTGGAGCAGCTGAAAGGAATCCAGTCTGTGAATTCTGTCCCTTCAGTAGAGTCTTTGAAGAAGTCAGTAGATAATGACCCTTTAGAAATGACTGAAGTTAAGCTTTATTCTTCACGCTCTCGCTGAAATGATATTTTTCAGCTGCAAGACTGATCGAATTCTTTTTCCTGTTAATGCGGAAATCTTTACAAATATCTCTCTTTGGCAATACAGACCCAGGGACCTTTCTTTTTTTTCTTTTTTTCCTTCTTTTTTTTTTCTTCAGAATTTGGTGTCACTGGTGCTTTTATTTTTCTCAGATTGTCTATTTATTATGCTCTGACAAATAATATTTTCACTGTGCAATATAAAATGAATAATAAATATACTTATTGAAAATAAAAATCCACAACAGAGCCCTGTCTGACTTGGTTCAATGGATAGAGCATCAGCTTGCAGATTGAAAGGTCTCGGGTTTAGCCGAAACCGGTTTGGCTCAGTGGTAGAGCGTCGGTCTGCGGACTGAAAGATCCCAGGTTCGATTCCGGTCAAGGGCATGTACATTGGTTGCGGGCACATCCCCTGTAGGGGGTGTGCAGGAGGCAGCTGGTCGATGTTTCTCTCTCATCGACGTTTCTGGCTCTCTATCTCTCTCCCTTCCTCTCTGTAAAAAATCAATAAAATATATTTAAAAAAAAAAAAAAAAAAGAAAGGTCTCGGGTTCAATTCCGGTCAAGAGCACATGTCTGGGTGTGGGTCGATCCCCAGTGTGGGGCATGCAGGAAGCAGTTTATTAATGATTCTCTCTCATCATATCTCTCTCTACCTCTCTCTTCTTCTCTGAAATCAATAAAGAAATTTTTTTAAAAAAAATCTACATCAGCAATGGGTTGTTTTGCAGTTTGACTGGTAGCAAAAAAAAATTAATGGAAACTTTGTCATTTGAAGCATATGTTTAACAACTACTTACAGTTTTGGGTAGCTAATTATTCATTATGAGGCTCATTTGCTCGAGGAAGGAAATTATTTTAATTTACAAGACAGCTGATAGTGACCTATCTTCCAATTTATTCTGTGCTTGATATTGAAACCATTTTTGTTTGTTTGTTTGTTTTGTTTAGCGCTGGAGTTGGGAGAACAGGCACATATATTGTGCTGGACAGCATGTTGCAGCAAATTCAGCATGAAGGCACCGTCAACATATTCGGCTTCTTAAAACACATTCGTTCACAAAGAAACTATTTGGTGCAAACTGAGGTATGAGAAGAAGGATAATCTTATTTACCTAAGGGTTGGAATTAAAATGCTAGCGCTGAGTAGACAAGTGTTTATCTAGCAGGTGAATTAGTCTGGTGGGGCTGCCATAAAAAGTACTACAAACTGGTTTAAAACAACAGATGCGGATTGCCCCATAGTTTTGGAAGCCAGAAGTGCACAATCATGGTGTTGGCAGGGCCATGCTGCCTCTGCAACCTCTAGGGAAGGATCCCTTATTATCTTTTCGAGCTTCTGGTAGCACGTGTGTTCCTGGGATGGAGCAGCATAATTCCACCTCCTGTCTCTGTCTTCAAAATGCCCTCTTCCCTCCGTGTCCTGGTCCACATTTTCCTGTGACTAGCCACTACCTCATTCCAGTTATTTACATGTGCAGTGATTCTGTTTACAAGTACAGTCACATTCTGAAGTGCTGAGGGTTAAGGCTTCAGCACAACTTTTATGGGGGAGACAGTTCAACCCATAAGAGGTCATTGCATATATTTCTTTAAAGGACCAACTAAGTTTTGTCTATTTTGTGATCAAATGGGAACTATCTTGAAAGCAACACCAGTTACAGAGAAGATTCAGAAAATGAGTCATCTGCTAGCAAAATCTTCAAGTTTTTCCTCCACGTAGTAAACAAATGAATTCATTTTTATATTTAAAAAGTATGCATTATGCTAAAGTTCTATCCATTTTTAGGTCCAAATTCTTTACATGTCTATGGCACAGGAGAAGTCTGCATATCTGTGTTGGTTTTCAATATGTCTAAATAGAAAGGAATGTAAATTGAAAATTATTGATGGCAGCTTGAAAGCAACTGGAAACTAAACAGGTTTAAAACCAAACCAAATTTCATTTCATAAGAGAACTGACATTCTAGTCACGTAAGACTAGAAAAGAAGTTCCCAGTGTGGGACACACACCCCACAGGGGGCAATTGGATTTTTAAAGGGGGGTTTGTCTTGGGGGTGTCTTTTGAGAATGAGTTATTAACAGTGAATTTTTGCATTTCTTCTTATTCTAGGGGCCTCGTATGCAGTATATAAATATATCTTGTGACATATTTATGCATTTCAATTCTCTATTATATGTTTTGAAACTCTATTTGCTATTTTTATATTGCTTTGTATTATTATATATATTTTTTTTAAATTTCTCAGTGATTTCTTCCTCAGAACTTCAACTGTCCTTTTGTTCTTTTATTTTTCTCTTTCATGAATGCCATGTTTTTTGGAAGCTTGTTTAGACCAAATAAATGGCTTTTGACGCTTCCTCCACGTGAATAGGAGTTCACTTTGTGACTAGAATTATATGTCACAGGGACAGGCATCAGGATTTTAGAGATGCTCAGGTGGGGCATGGCCAAAAGAAAATTGGGAACCACTGGTCTAGAGAAAAAGAGTCCTATTCATAGAAAAGAAGATAACTCTTAAAAACCGTATAAATCATTACACTAAGTTATATATGACCGGCTACAAGGAGCATTAGAATGGACAGAGGGGCAGACCCATCCGAGGGAGAGAGGTCATGGAAGTCCTCATGCAGAAGGCGGAAGTGAGCCTTGGGTTGAAGGCAGGGCAGCGAAGAGGCATTGCTTTGCTTCCCCGAATCACCTGCCTCCTTCCCACAGATGTGAGTCCACAGAAATGGAGAGGTAAGGGAAGAGGAGAGCTGTGTTCTGCCCCCACTGCCTCTCTCCCTCCCCCTGCCTTCCTGCCGGGCCTGATAAGCAATCTTTTGTGGCTCTCTCTCTACCCTCAGTATAACTCCTTCTGTCTGTCCATGGAAGATACTGCTTTTATACCTAGATGCACGTAAGGAAAGCCTGAAGTAATATTCCCTACTGTCCCTGCCTCGCCAGGAACAGTATGTCTTCATTCATGATGCGCTGGTGGAGGCCATACTTAGCAAGGAGACCGAGGTGCCCGACAGTCACATTCACGCCTATGTCAACGCGCTCCTCATCCCTGGGCCCACGGGCAAAACAAAGCTGGAGAAACAATTCAAGGTGAGTCCTCTTGGCAGTGCCTCGGGCCTCTCTGCCCACAGAACTGAATGTGCCTGCCTCCTCCCCTCCGTATCCACAGGGCCACGGAGATGGGCCCAGAGAGCTGTTGGCACAGTGGCTCCTATTGTTCTCTGCCCCCGGCAATGAGGCCACGTGGTGCATTTCAAGGAGAACCTTCCTTTGGAGTGGTGAGGAGAAAAAGTTCTCAGAAACCCTAGACCAACTTTTATAAATGCAGACTCGGTCAGGGAGGGGGGGTGGGCACCCAGCCCACCAGGATGAACAGACAGGACTGACAATACAAAGCGGACAAGGGCTCTTCTCGCTTTGAAAAAGCCAGACCACTCAGCCGGGAGGGCTGTTCTGCTCCTGGGGAGAAGCCTGCCCCACTTGAAGCCCCTGAAGGAGAAGAGGCGACACCACAATAGCTTCTGCAGCCCGCTTCTCCCCCGCACCCTGTCCCAAGGCCGCGCACCAGGGAGGAGGGCACGGGGTGTTTCTGCTGTTGTTTAGTATTATTCCTCCTGCAGCCCAGCTCTCTGCCTTCCAGAAATCAGGGAGCAGAGAGCTCAAAAAGCAGATGTGCCCCGGCCTGCCAGCTGGGGTGGGCATTGCAGAGGCGAGGCTTCCAGAGGAATGGAGGAGTTACTGCGCTTCCCGTTATTCCTGTAGTAACCTCCTACTTCCCGGGATTCCCAGGGAGACAGGGCCAAGTTCTGAACAAGGACTATCTGGGGAGAATTTGGAAGACATTGGAAAAATCCAGGAGAGTTAGTTAATAAACCTTGAGATTTTGGGTTTCCCCCTCCTTTCTCCCCAGCCTGCAACATAGAAGATGTTAGCTCTGATTTGTTTCTGATGTGTTGCCCTCTTAGCACTGTTTGCACTTTGTAGGAGTAAGAGAAAGATGAGATGCCCTAGCTGGTTTGGCTCAGTTGAGAGCCTTGGCCTGTTGACTGAAGGGTCCCAGGTTCTATTCCAGTCAAAGGCATGTACCTTGGTTGCAGGCACATACCCAGTAAGGTGTGTGCAGGAGGCAGCTGATCAATGTTTCTCTCTCATCGATGTTTCTAACTCTCTATCCCTCTCTCTTTCTCTCTGTAAAAAATTAATAAAATGTGTTGTTGTTTTTTTAAAAGAGAAAGGCGAGGGGTGAATGCTGAACTGAGCACCTGTCAGAAAACGTGAATGTTTCCTTCCCTCAGCCAAGCTTATCTGAGGCAGGAAGGAACACTTAAAGAGAAGTGCACAGCATGGCTCCCAGAAACAGATAATAAGGAAATATTAAATGTTAACATTAGCTTTTCCATTAATTAAAAAAATACATATATATTACTCATTTTCCGCATTTCACTATGCGTTATCCCTGACACAGTTCTATAGGAGAACTGATATGGCTTCCACTAGATGACCAGGATCAAAATGGAAATATCAATTATGACATCAGAATCCATTAAAAAAGAGGGACATTTGACTGTTTTCTGTTAACATCACAACTAGGAAATGCAGGTGTGTGTGTGTGTGTGTGTGTGTGTGTGTGTGTGTGTGTGTGCTTATTGTCATATAAGGAAAGTTTAACCATAGGAAAATTTATTCAAGTTTAACCATAGGAAAATTTCTCTGCAATAAATTTTGCATGTTTAATTGATTCAAGTTTAACCATAGGAAAATTTCTCTGCAATAAATTTTGCATGTCTATTTATTCAACTAATATATATGAGACACCTATCACATGTCAGGCTTTTGTGTTTGACACTGGTTTTATTTTATTTTATTTTTTTGACACTGATTTTAAAATTAATATAGCATAAAAGTCCCAAAACATGCAAACCAATACTGAAAAGTAAGAAATAGAAATGTATCGTTCTACTTATGGAAGACTTATTATGCAGATATAATAATATTTAAAAACAGACAAATAAGCCAAAGGACCCACGCACATGTCAAATTATGTGATTAATACGACATTACAAATTAGTAAGGAAAGGATAAACTAATGGATAAATGATATTAGAACAATTTTAAGTATTATAACTATTAGAAGAATATATCTTTCAAGGGTTCAGGGTAGAGAAGGGGTTTTTTAAATAAAAACATAATTTACAGAAAACTTAAGGGAAAACTTAATACATTGGGTGTAAATGTCTATTTAATTAAAGAGAAAGATATTTGCAACTTTTTTTTTTAACAGACTGGAGGTTTACATTCAAGATATCAAAAACCCCCTAAAAATCAATAACTGACAGTGAAGTAGAAATAAGAAACTACAGTCCTCAAAGGAGAAATCTAAATGGCTAATGAACATTAAAGTACTTCATTTCACAATAATTAAGGAAATGCAAACCAAAACCATAATACAGCATTTTTTATATTATATATCAAACTATCAAAACTTAAGCACTGAACTCTCTGGCTGGTTTGGCTAAGTGAATAGAGTGTCAGCCTGCAGACTGATGAGTTCCTGGTTCGATTCTGGTCAAGGCAAATGCTTGCTTTGCAGGCTCGATTCCCAGTGAGGGGCATGCAGGAAGTAGCCGATCAATGATTCTCTCTCATCATTAACGTTTCTATCTCTCTCTCCCTTTCCCTTCCTCTCTGAAATCAATAAAAAATATATTTTAACAAAAGATTTAAACACTTGGTGACTCCAAATTCTCTATAGAAATCTTCACATGTGAACATTCAGAAATATAGAAGGGAAATTCATTGCTACAATTTTGGACATAGCAAAACATTGGAAATGACCTGGACCGTCAGTAATTGGGGAACAGATAAATAGCAAGTAGATTGTTGCTACTCATGTGTTGGAGTTCTAAAAGAATGAATAAAATCCAACTATACCCATATATATTAAAACACACACACACACACACACACACACACACAGTATGCAGCTCATCTCCCAACTGCATGAGATTTAAGTAGAGGAAATGGAGAGTGCACACCCACAGAGAAAGCCATGGGGAAGATCTTCCCGATGCTGCAAGTCAACTAGGAAGCTAGTGTTCTCTGCTTCTTCCAACTTTCCTGGTGTCAAACACAGATGTGCCACAGAGTTCCCTAAAACAACTTCAGTTCAAGGAATTCTTGAAAAAAAAAAAAAGTCAGATATATTTATATTTGGTATCTTACCTTGGTTGGGCTGTGTATGTGTATAGGAGTGTGTGAGTGTGTGGTGTGTGTGTGTGTGTGTGTGTGTGTGTGTGTGTGTGTGTGTATTTGAGTGACTTTAATGAAATAATCTGTGTTTTCCCTTCACTCCCATTCTCAGCTCCTGAGCCAATCAAACATACAGCAGAGTGACTATTCGACAGCCCTAAAGCAATGCAACAGGGAAAAGAACAGAACTTCGTCCATCATTCCTGGTAAGATATGTGAATCTTGGGGAAAACTTTTTTTTCATTTATAATAGAAACTTTGTAAGTAATTTAACAATATTTGTACATTTTAGGACAAAAGCAATACATTCAGATTTTTCTAATTATGTAACTTCTAAAGAAGAATCTCAAACCCTGAATTGTCACCTAAAACTGCAAAATGCATGGTTAACATGAGCTTAAAGGTCACAGACACTCAGCATGAGACATTCAGCTGTGTTCTGCCACTTGGGGCTGGAGGGGAAGGTGGAGGGGTAGGGGAGGGTGTTGTTTACCCAGAATGCTCTGTGTTGCAGTGGAAAGATCACGGGTTGGCATTTCGTCTCTGAGCGGGGAAGGCACAGACTACATCAATGCCTCCTATATCATGGTAAGTCAGAGAAGTCGCTGGGGAGACTGCCTGCCAGTTTGTGCCACCAGGACCAACACCAGAGTGAGCTGCCTGAGGCAGTAGCTGGTAGCATGGGCAGCAGCCCTGGGGGACAAAAGTCAGATCTGATGACGTAAACATCACCCTCCTACTCCCCAAGATCCCCCCGCAGAAGCGATAGATAACAGCCTTCCCTGATGCTTTAACGTAGGCCGGGATTGGGAAAACCTGCAAATAAGTAGGTGCAGGATCCAAACACCATCAAGGTTGATGCATAGACACAAAACATGTGCTCACCCATCAGAGGGCCTCTGGACACCAAACGTGCCCTGTTGCCAGCGGTGTGAAATGTGGCACTCTCGCGCTGGGATTTGTGGGAAATGAGAAATGTAATTCTTCTCTAGATTTCCACTTTTTATAGTGAAGGAAATACGGTTTGTAAGTTATGTTGATAAGTCTGCTCCTATAGCTGACGACTGTGTGAACTTGGGCATCTTCTTAACCACCTGTAAAACGTGGATAGCATTTTTTATCCCTTGGGAGGAATGACCCACTTAAGGGGAGAAAATGCTTAGTGCTATACCTGGCATAGAGCAGTGTCCCCTAAACATTGACTGGAGGAATCACATTGTTATTTATAAACACAATCTGAAAATAAAGAGGCTGCCATAAGCTTACCAATGTTTTCTGAATATGTAAAGTCATATGCCAAGGTTTTATCTACTTTCTTCTTGATTGTGTAGGGTTATTACCAGAGCAACGAGTTTATCATCACGCAGCATCCCCTTCTCCACACCATCAAAGATTTCTGGAGGATGATATGGGACCATAACGCCCAGCTGGTGGTTATGCTTCCTGATGGTCAAAACATGGTAAGGCCCTCAGGCCGCTTTTAATGTTGTCCTTGATGAGAAATATCAGCTCACACTCATCGGAAGTCCAGCAAACAGATAGGTCATGTTTGCAACTAATAAAGTAATGTCACTGGAGTTACACCTTGACTGTTATTGGGCCCGGTTTGGTTATGCAATCAGGTCTGAAATTGTTGAATGACAGTTTTAAATAAGGGTAGGTTGAAATGAATTTAAATTTAAGTGTTTTGTGACACAGTCTAAAAAAATCAAATCACAATCATGAATGTAGTCAGTCCATATGCTTCTAAGTATTTTTAATAAAAATTTGTAAGATATTTGGAGATTCCCCCAGTTTGAGGCTATCCATAGACCAATTTAGACAATAAAGTAAACTGCCAGTATCAGAAGGACTTCTTTAGTATCAGAAAATCATGGATGCCCTATGGTACTATTCATATGTATTTGGAGAAACCACAAAATAAAATAAAATGAATATTTCATTTAGCCTTTGCATATATACCTTGAGATTCATTTCTTGTCCTTAAAGTTATGCTGACCATTCCAAATGATGCTGTAAATTGCTGAGCTCTAAAATCACTTGACTTTCATCTGCTAAGTTATCAATTATAGAAGCAACAACTAATCTTTGTTATTGATAAACCAAAGAAACAAAATAACAAAGCAATAACTTGGGTTCTTAAGTTTTATTCTGCAGGTTTATAATAAACAAGATTTTAAGAGTAAATTTTGAATTCAAAGAAAAATGTGTTGAATTGTCTATGGCAACCAGTTAACTTCATTTCACAGCTTGCTTAATTAGACATTTTATTAAAATCTAGCATTTTCTTTGGTTTTTAATCCTCCAGGCAGAAGACGAATTTGTTTATTGGCCAAATAAAGATGAGCCTATAAATTGTGAAAGCTTTAAGGTCACTCTTATGGCTGAAGAACACAAATGTCTGTCTAATGAAGAAAAACTTTTAATTCAAGATTTTATCTTAGAAGCTACACAGGTATGGCTATAATCTAAATGACAAACTTTTCATCTTAAGCACCTGTTAAATATATGCTCTTTAAGGATCTTTTCCAGCAATAAAAAGAAAGAAACTGATTTTTTACAAATTGAGACAGATTACCTAGATAGTAAGTTTTACTTTGCTTGTCACTTTCATTTTCAAAATCTTGTAGAATCATTAAATACTTGATTATCACTAAACGGAAAACAAATATTTCTACACACACAGGAAAACAAAGATTTCTCTTTTACTTCAGAACAGTTGCCAATAGAACTTAAATTGAAAGTAAACACAATAAAAAACAAAGTTGAATCAATCCTTGTTCTCATGTGTTAACTTTACCTTGGATTCTGCTAAATAAAATGGAAAACGTATTACTTAGTAAATTAACGCATTGCTCTCCAGGAATGTATGAGTCAATAAGTGAAGAAGTGCTTTTTTTATTATTATTTAATATTTTATTGATTTCTCACAGAGAGGAATGGAGAGGGATAGTTAAAAACATCAATGAGATAGAAACATCAATCAGCTTGCCTCCTGCACAACCCCCACTGGGGATGTGCCCAAAACCAAGGTACATGCCCCTGACTGGAATCAAACCTGGGACTCTTCAATCCAAAGGCTGACACTCTATCCATTGAGCCAAACCATCCATGGCAAGAAGTGCTTTGAAAATGTGCAGTGAACTAGAATTGTTTTACTAAATTCTTTTTAAAAATATATATTTATTTTTATTTATTTCAGAGAAGAAGAGAGAGGAAGAGGGAGATAGAAACATCAATGATGAGAGAGAATAATTTATCAGTTGCCCCCTGCACACTCCCTACTGGGAATCAAACTCGAAATCCAGGCCAGAATCAAACCAGGGATCCTTCAGTCCACAGGCAGATGCTCTATCCACTAAGCCAAACCAGCAAGGGCTGTTTTACTAATCTCTTGATTATCTATAAGGCATTACTCTAAATTATTTGTCAATATTTACATAACTGCAGTACAGTAAATTATTTGTTGTATAGCCATAATAAAATTCTAAAAGATATTAGAAATGATAAGTAAGGAATGTGAGGTTCAGAATAACTTCACAATCAAAAAAGAAGTTTTGGATGGCTTAGTTGTTTCACTTTACAACACCCTAATTCTGAAACCAGTAAACCATATCCTACCCTATAAAACAAAATCTTAATATGCAAATAGAGTGAACAGCCAAATGACCAGTGAGTTTGGGGTGAGGCCACTGAGCATGTGGATGCTAATCCTTAGTCAACTATATATACTGGAAATACCTTTTTTTCTGTTTGTGATTTGACATTTTTCTTTGTGATTTTTTTTTTTTGGTGAATAAAAGTTTTAATGTTTAATCCATGTAAATTTATTATATTTTTCCCTTCCCACTTTAAAAAAATAACTTTTATTGATTTCAGAGAGAAAGGGAGCAGGAGAGAGAGTTAGAAATATTAATGATGAGAGAGAATCATTGGTTAGCTATCTCCTGCATGCCCCCTACTGGAGATTGAGCCCAAAACCCAGGCATGTGCCCTGACCCGGAATCAAACCATGACCTCCTGGTTCAGAGGCCAACCTATGCTGAACCACTGAGACTTGCCAGCCAGGCTCTTATTACTTTTATAAGGAAATCATTTGGTGTCTTTGAAAAAATAAAAATCCTTTTTAGTTTGAAAAATCAGGTTTTTTATCCTTTTTTCTAAATGTTTTATAGCTCCACCTAAAATTGACATTTTGTATTATGTTTTGTAAGGCAAGGGTCAAATTTCCTTATTTTCCATGTGGATAACCATTGTTCCAGCTTACTTAGTGATCAGCAATACCAATTCAGTTATAAATCAAATTTCTCTCATATATGTATGGGCTTGTTTCTTGTATCTCTGTGTATTATATTGGTCTCTTTGTTCACGCCTCTGCCCAAAATACAGGGTCTTGGTCATTCTTTTATGATATAAGACTGTGTGATAGCTAATGAGATAGTCTCCTATATTGATTATCTTCTTCAGTGGTTTCTTGGCTATTTTTGACTTTTGCACTTTCATATACTAGAACTAGTAAAATGTTGGCTCTGCTGCTTTTTTAAGTTTATTTTTTATTAATCTCTAAAATATTTTTTATAGATTTCAGAGATGAAGGGAGAGGGAAAGAGAGAAACATTTAAATGAGAATCATTGATCAGCTTCCTGCACGCCCCCTACTGGAGGTTCAGTTTGCAACTGGGCATATGCCCTTGACCAGAATCAAACCTAGGGCCCTTCAGTCGGCAGGCCAATGCTCTATCCACTGAACCAAGCCAGCTAGAACATCCGCTACTTGTTTTTAGATGTAACATTTGATTGCGTACACTTCAGGAGCTGGAGGTCAGAGGTGTAAGGGATTTAAAGTCACACAGGCTGCTTGGTCACTTAAGCAAGAATCAGAACTGGGACCAGCTGAAACCGGTTTGGCTCAGTGATAGAGCGTCGGTTTGCGGACTGAAAGGTCACAGGTTGGATTCCGGTCAATTGCTTGTGGGCACATCCCCGGTAGGGGGTGTGCAGGAGGCAGCTGGTTGATATTTCTCTCTAATCTACGTTTCTAGCTCTCTATCTCTCTCCCTTCCTCTCTGTAAAAAATCAATAAAATATATTTAAAAGAAGAAGAAGAAGGAGGAGGAAGAGGAGGAGGAGGAGGAGGAGGAGGAGGAGGAGGAGGAGGAGGAGGAGGAGGAGGAGGAGGAGAACGAGAACAAGAACAAGAACAAGAACTGGGACTAGCTTGAAACCAAAACCACCCTTCTTGCCAGCATCTTCCCCAGTGTCCTGCTGTCTCATTTTCCCCTCAGTTAAACCTGAGTGATAGTGGTACTGAAAAAGTCTATGTTATTTTTAAAATAAGTTTTAACACTGAAGATCTCTCCTTGTAAGTTTAAATTCAGCATCACAGACACATCTTTTGCACATACTGCCATGGTTTGATTGGCATAAACCCACAAATGAGGTTTATTGTTGGAATAAGTTAGAGATGCATCTGTGTGTGGCCAACGTGGCCTCAGACCAATGCCTTCCTTCCGTGAAGGACAGGCTGACACTGTTGCTGTTCGCTTGTGTATGCCGTTTGCTTTCATCGCCTTCCTGTGATTTCTGATTTCCTCACTTATTCTACTCAGTGACCCATCTGATTCTTTTAGCATGTGATTTTTTCTTTCTTTCACAGGATGATTATGTACTGGAAGTGAGGCATTTTCAGTGTCCCAAATGGCCAAACCCAGACAGCCCTCTCAGTAAAACTTTTGAACTTCTAAGTATTATCAAAGAAGAAGCTGCCAGCAGGGATGGGCCCATGATTGTCCACGATGAGTAAGTGCCACACTCGAAATCAAGTTGTGCCTTAGCATCCCCTAGGTCAGTGGTCAGCAAACTCATTAGTCAACAGAGCGGCAAACCGCGGCCCACGATTTGCAGACCACTGCCTAGATGTACGCAGATTTCTGCTGTCTTTGTTCTCACCTAATGCTTTGGGCCAATGTAGTAATTCAGTCTGGGTGGATTATCTGCTTCTTACAGACAAGGTGAACACGGAATTTTTGTTCACTTCTCTAGGAGCTTCTCCTGAAGGCAGGAGATGGGTATGTGATCACAAAAATGTGCTCTTGCAATGGATGTCAAGAGCCCACCATTGGGTGATGGTCCAGATTTATTGATTTATTTATAGTTAATCCTCACCCAAGGATATTTTTCCATTGATTTTTAGAGAGGGTAGAAGGGAGACAGATAGAGAGAAACATCAATGTGAGAGACACATTGATTGGTTGCCTCCCACACATGCCCTGCCCAGGGCTAGGGAGCAAGGTGTGTGCCCTTGACTGGAATCAAACCTGGGACTCTTCAGTTCATGGGCTGACACTCTATCCACTGAGCCAGGGCTGGTGGCTCAGTTTTAGCATTTGAGTTTTTACGGGTGCTAATCAGAGACATTTCTCAGCCATGGACTTTCTTGGAATAGGAGTAAAATTGATATATTTTTTATTTACCAGAAACAGAGATCTTTATCCAATAAGTGTTTCCAGGTTTCTGTTATAAGCAAATAAAAAAATATGTGTGCTGGAATTATATATTATATACATATTACTGTATTTTCCGGCATATAAGACGACACTGTGTTCTAGTAAAAAGCCTGCTCAGATTGGCCAGAGTCAGAGAGGTGGTCATTAAAAAAAAGAACTGGTGTTGCCTCAGAAGTGGGGGGTAGTCTTATACAGCGAATATAGAAACCTATGTTTTAACTGTAAAATTAGGGGGTCGTCTTATACACTCGGTCGTCTTATACGCCGGAAAATACGGTATATGTAATGCATATTAATAACCTTAGAGTGTTCTGATTTATTGCTAGCTCCAGGTAAAGCAAATCTTAATCCTCTATAAAGTATCTCATTACTAATATCAAGAGGACTTGTTGAGTGTTCTATAAACCATAGTTTTATGCACAATAAAGAGGGGCAATTCATTGGAAATCTCAGTGCTCTTAGGACAAAGTTGTCAAGAGTACAATCTGTGAATCTCAAATATGAAAGTCTGGTGAATCTGAACGAACTCTGTCCCTTCCTTTTGCTTCAAGGCATGGAGGAGTGACAGCAGGAACTTTCTGTGCTCTGGTGACCCTTATGCACCAACTAGAAAAAGAGAATTCCGTGGATGTCTACCAGGTAGCCAAGATGATTAATCTGATGAGGCCAGGAGTCTTCGCTGACATCGTAAGTAACCAAGCAATGAAGCAAACACCTCACTGTTACTATTGACTTCCTGGAGGCTGCCAACCTCATTTTATCCTACATCAAAAAAGGTCACATTGACTGATAGCATTAGATGTAGTTTTCAGCCTGAATTACAAGTTATTCTGTCTCCGATCCATATAACTGGAACTATAAATAAGAAACATTTACATTTTTTCTTCTAGAAAATGTATGGCTAAAAATGTTAAGTCATGTGTGTGCTTTTTTTTTTCCACAAGACTTGTAATTCTGCAAAATATCCCCAGTAGAAGCATCAACACCCTGACTGATCCAAACAAAATAAATAACTACATTTCCAGAGTTCACGTTCTGCCCAGCTCAGAGAATTGTTAGAAGACACACCCTAAAGTCTTAAACTTTTGAAGTTTTCACTTTTTTATCAAGTGAAATTTAATTTCTGAAGTTAACAAATGGCTAGTTTTGGGGTACTTTTAAAAAGAAAGAGAGACTCAGATGATCAAAACAAAGATACAGCACATCTGGAGAAGTTGGTCTCAACACTGAAATAATCTGGAAGTTTTTACTGTAGAAATATGGGCTGGAAAGACGATAGGTAACAGTTCAAGTGGCCCAATGGGAGGAGCTTATGTGGAGTAGAATATAGGCTCATCCCCTGGTCTTTGCATGTTTAAGGGACTTAGAAAAGCCCATTTTTTAAGCTATAGCCCAAACCCAATGGCCAAAGGCAAGGTTACCCTGCACACCTGCACTTCAGAGGAGTCCCTAACAAACATCCCTTTCAGATCCGTTGGGTTGTATCAAGCTTTTCCTGTGTATGAAATTGCTCTCCAGAGGTTGACCTTTGACCTATTTTGAAGATGCCTTCAATGGGGCACCAGTTCCCATGTCGTACTAAGGACTGTTTGCTATGATGTCAGTCCCCAACTCACTTTTTCTGTAGCTACCTTCCCCTCCGCCTACCCCCACAACCAAACCAGCATCTGTAAGAGGAAAGCTACTTTATTCTACAGTGTCTTTTACTCTGAGACCTCAGCAGGGCACACACTCGCTCACCTTTGGCAAAGCAGGGATAGCAAGGTCAGGTGGGGAGAGGATGAAGAATACTTGATAAGTGGATTCTGCATGGGTGTCTTAGCTGACTGATGTGCAATCTTTGACCTCCCCTTTAATAGACAAACCCGATGGTTTTCATAGCAACTAGAGAATGGAGAATGAGCACCTTATTTGGGAGTGGGTCACAAGTGCCCATGCCAGAGAGCTACATACAAGTTGACAAGTCAGTGACGGAACCCTGTCATGTTGCCTTCTCACTGACGTCATGAAGTAAATGAGTAAGGACGGAGTGCTTACCATAAGCCAATGTGTGCGGACCAATTTTCTAGGACATAAATGTTAACTAATTAAACATCTTTTTTTTTTAATCACTTGAGGATATTTTTCCATTGATTTTTTAGAAAGAGTGGAAGAGAGAGGGAAAGAGAGAGAAACATCAACGTGAGAGAAACACATCAATTGGTTGCCTCCTGCACGTGCCCCAACCAGAGCCCAGACCCAGGAGGGGCCTGCAACCACGGTACTTGCCCTTGACCAGAATCGAACCTGGGACCCTTCAGTCTGCAGTCCAACACTCTACCCACTGAGCCAAGCCAGCTAGGGAAATTAAAAAGCTATTTTAATTGTATCAGAAGAAGAGATTCATATAGATTGTGTGCCTCTGCTGAGTATAACAGAGCCCTTCTGTGGACAGTGCCCAAGTGTCACTAAAAATATTCCAGATGCATGTCTTCACTAAGCCTCTATGTCTCCTGTTCTCTGTTTCCTAGGAGCAGTATCAGTTTCTCTACAAAGCAGTCCTCAGCCTTGTGAGCACGAGGCAGGAAGAGAATCCATCCACCTCTCTGGACAGTAACGGCGCAGCATTGACCGATGGAAATATAGCCGAGAGCTTAGAGTCTTTAGTTTAACACAGAGAAGGGGGCGAAACTCCATATCTCAAATCAGACTGGAAAACCCGTTCTTCTATTCCCTGTTTTCTTTCCCATCCCCTGACAGTAACTTTCATGACATAGGATTCTGCTGCCAAATTTATATTATTAACAATGTGTGCCTTTTTGCAGAACTTCTTGTAATTCACTTATTGTGCTTAAACTAAAAATGATTGAATTTTACAGTGTTTCTAAGAACGGAATTAGGGTGTTTTTTGTATTGATTTTAACAAAAATTTTCAATTTATAGATATTAGGAATTACAAATTACAAAAAAATGTTGTTTTAGTGTCAAATTTTTAGCTGTATTTGTAGCAATCATCAGGTTTGCTGGGAATATAACTTTTAATACAGTAGACTGTAAATAAAATGTTCTGTTCCTTATGATATTCAACATTTTACAACTGCAGTATTCACCTACAGTATGAAATAATCTTCTACTCACTGTAAATACTGCTCTAGTGTCTCCATGGACCAAATTTATATTTATAATCGTAGATTTTTATATTTTAATACTGAGTCGGTTTTCTAGTTCTGTGTAATTGCTTAGTTTAATTATATAGCTCCTGGCCTGGTCTTGCTTTATACGTCTCCTGATATTGTTCCATGTTATCTCAGTGACTAACTGTTTTAGCATGTGATTTTAACTTTTATGGGAAATAGAAACACATTTGTTGTGAAAGAATATGTTTTTATGAAAATAACACCTTACCCAATGTTGTTTAAATGGTTTATTGAAGGGATTGAAAAAAAATAAATATAAGTATTGTCGTCAGCTTGCCTGTGGAGTGTTGTGTGCAGGACCTGTGTGACAGCGAATGGAGATGATGGAAATGAAAAAGATGGATCTGATGGGACTGTGATTCCAAACTGCACTGAGGCACTCAGGGACGTCACCACATTTTCCATGTTTGAAGACAACATAGTAACAAGTACTGACACTGCACAGCTACTCACCTGAAATTAGTTGGACCTAATTACTTCACAAAGGGAACCATGATGTATGTCTTTTGGCTTAGTGGAGCTAGGAAAATGTTCCCGAGAAGAGAAGCTATGGGTACCACATACCAAGAAATGTTGAGAAATTTTTGTTGAGAACCAAACTTGAGAGTTAGATTTGCCAGCCAGGGACAGGCTCAGCTGGTTTGAAAACTAGGTGAGTAGAAAAGGACCGGAAGGTCATAAATCCCAGCATGGAAAAGGGGAAGTCCTATGTGAAGGTAAATCGGCAGGGCCCAGTGGCTGTGGGGAGCCCAAATGCAGCAAAAGAGGGAGTCAGGGGTAACCAGCCTGCTGTGATACTGGAAACTGTGCCCCGACTCAGCAGAGAGTGTTCTGTAGCGCTGCCTGCTGCAGAGGGCTGTGATCCCCAAGAATGCCCAGCTTAGGGTCACGGCAGGAAGCCAGGAAAAGCTTCGTCTAAACCAGTGGTCCTCAGAGTCAGGTTCCCAGGCCAGCGGCACCACCAAAACCTGTGAACTTGTTAGAAATGCGAATTCTGGGTTCCCATCCCAGACCTACCATGTCAGAAACTCTGAGGTTGGGATCTAGCAACCTTAAGGCATGTTCAGGTTTGAGAACAATCAGGAAGCCTCGAGTCTCCTCTAGTAATGTACCAGGAAGTTTTCACTAAATCCTTAAAGTAGAATCAAAATTAATTAGCTCTTTTTTGAAGCTTATTTTTTCATCAGATTTTTTTTTTTTAATTTCCTTGGTTTTTAGATTCACTTGTTGATAGTTACGTATTTGTTGTTCATAATTTTTATCTTTGTTTACTTTCTCTTCTGAAAGAACCCCCTTCAGCAATTCATATAATTCTGGTTTGGTGTTGATGAACTCCTTTAGCTTTTTTTAATTAGTGAAGCTCTTTATCTGACCTTAGATTCTGAGTGATAGCTTTGCTAGATAGATTATCTTTGACTGTAGGTTCTTACTATTCATCACCTTGAATATTTCTTGCCATTCCCTTCTGGCCTGCATGGTTTCTGTTGAGAAGTCAGCTGACAATCGTATAGGTGCTCCTTTATAGGTAACTACCTTCTTTGCTGTTGCTTCTTTTAATATTCTCTTTGTCTTTTGCTCTTGGAATTTTAATTATGATGTGTCTTGGTGTGGTCCTCTTTGGATTCCTTTTGTTTGGAGTTCTGTGCGCTTCCTGGACTTGTAAGTCTAATTCTTTCACCAGGTGGGGGAAGTTTTCTGTCACTATTTCTTTCAGTATGTTTTCAATATCTTGCTCTCTCTCATCTTCTGGGACCCCCATAATTCTGATGTTGGTTAGCTTGATATTGTCCCAGAGGTTTCTTACATAATCTTCAATTTTCTGGATTCTCTTGCCTTCTAGCTTCTGTGGAGGAGTGTCTTCTGGCTCTTTATGTTCCAAATCTTTGACTTGATTCTTGCTATCTTCCCTTCTGTTTTTAGGACTCTGTAAAATATTTTTTATTTCAGATAATGTATTCTTTATTGTTGATCTCTTATCATTTCTTGATGACTCCTTATTAATTCTAGTTGATCTCTTTTCATATCCTCAGAGGTCTTATCCAACTTTTCTAGGAAATTTTTAAAAAACCTTATATAAGTGTAGATTTGAACTGTATATCCAGACGCTTTTTGTCCTCCATTTCTTTCGTTTGTGATCTATTTTGTTGTCGCATTTTGCAGTTACAAATGGGACTGGGTTTCAGGGTGGAGCCTGCAGCTTTGGCTTCCATCAGCCCCGCCCTATGCGGGTCCTTCAGTGCTCGCTGCCGGCGCCTCTGAGAGAAAGGTGCCCTCGATTTTCGCCTGCTGCCAAACCGTCTATGCTCTCCCTCAATGAGCCCGGTATTGGGGTTCAGTTCAGTTGGAAGTGGAGTTGGAGGTGGCGTTCAGAGCAGTCCGGAGCCCCAGTCTCCTTCCGGCCAGGGCAATCCCGAGGCACAGCCAGCCATCCCTTCTCTTGGCGCAATGTGCGTGCCTCCGGGACCTCCTTTCGCCGCTTCCTCTGGGTTCCGCCTTACAGCCTGGCTCCCTATGGCTGAGCCTCAGTCTCAGGGGTCTAGCCTAGAACTGGGGTTCAGAGCAGTCGCGGGCCCAGCACAGTTGGAGTTTTATCTCCTTTCCGCTAGGGAACGCCCGCCAGGCACTCCGCCTCCCCCTCCTCTCTGGCTCCATCCTCTCCGCGGGCTGGGCCGTGTCTCTGTACCTTGGGCTTTTCCAGCTCCTCTGCACTTCCTTCTGGTTTTCTCCTTGCTTCTCGCTGTAAGATTTCCAGTCAGTCAACTTTCCGGTAGTTCTGGGCGCAGCCATCTTGGATCCTGAAGCTTATTTTTTTAAAGCAATAGTCATGAAGATAATCTGAAATAGGAACATAAGAAATGGAAAAACAGCCCTAGCCATTTGGCTCAGTAGATAGAGTGTCGGCCTGCAGACTGAAGGGTCCTGTGTTGGGTTCTAGTCAAGGGCATATGCCTAATTGCAGGCTCAATCTCCAGTAGGGGGTGTGCAGTAGGCAGCCGATCAATGATTCTCTGTCATCATTGATGTTTCCATCTATCTCCCTCTCCGTTCCCCTCCACAATCAAAAATATAATAATTTTAAAAAATGGGAAAACAGATATTAGAGTGTCACAAATCACAAAATGGATAGCCTCCTGATCACCCACCACTAAATGTCAGTAGTGCAAAGGCAAGATGGATAAGCCCTATTATCGATGTATACCAGGGATCTTGTTTAATTTTCCTGATGTTAACTATTTAGGCTCTTTTCAAATTTTTCCTACTGCAACACTATGACAAACATTTCTTTATATAAAAAGCTTTTACCATGTTTCACATTATTCCTTAGGCCCTAGCCGGTTTGGCTCAGTGGATAGAGTGACAGCTTGTGGACAAAAGGGTCCCAGGTTTAATTCCCGTCAAGGGCACTTACCTTGGTTGCTGGCTCCTCCCCGGCCCTGCTCTAGTCAGGGCGTGTGCATGAGGCAACCAACCAATGTACTTCTCTCACATTGATGTTTCTCACTGTCTCTGCTACTCTCTTCCACTCTCTCCAAAAATCATGAAAAAATGTCCTTGATGAGGGTTTAAAAAAAAAAAAAAGATTATTCTTAAGTGCTGATTTCTTTAAGTATCATTGGACAAGCAGATTGTATGAATATATTTTTATGTCTTAAAACTCTTTCACTCTTCCAAAGAGTTATACCATTTACATTCCCACTGGTGAGAGAATAGTTTTTTATTGTTCCATTCATTGGTTCAGGCCTCTGTTCAAATATCTCCTCCTCAGAGCAGCATTCCAGGATCAGTCTGTCTCAAGTAGCATTGCTCCCAAGGAAGATGTTCGACATATCTAGCACTGACCATCACAAGAGACATGGCTGTCCTGAGTGAGCCAGCTGCATGGCATCACTGTCCTGAGTGAGCCAGCTGCATGGCATTACTGTCCTGAGTGAACCAGCTGCATGGCAACCCACCGCTCTGCACCCCTTCGTCCTAAGGACCCCCTCATCTTCTTATCCTGCTTTAATTTTTCTCAGTAGCAGACGTTGTTTTCTGACATAACTTATGTTGGATGCCCATCTCCTCTATGAGTGTGCAAGCTTCATGAGGAGATGAATTTTGACTCTTTTCTTTTTAAAAATATAATTTTATTGATTTTTCTTTATACAGAGAGGAAGGGAGGGGGATAGAGAGTTAGAAATATCCATGAGACAGGAAATCCATCAGCTGTCTTCTGCACACCCTCTATTGGGGATGTGCAGGCAACCAAGGTACATGCCCTTGACTGGAATCAAACCTAGGACGCTGTAGTCTGCAGGCCGATGCCCTATCCACTGAGCCAAACTGGTTATGGCTTGTCTCTCCTTAATGTCTGCATTCCCAGACAGTACCTGGCACATTAAAGGCAGTCAGTAATTTTAGACGTATAAATGAAGAACGAATGAATGAGTTGATTTTTACCTAGAGCAAAACTCTCTTTAATAGTCTTGAGAAAC